CTGAAATGCAATACAGGTCTTGTTCCCATTTTCTTGGATAGTAGCACTTGGCTCCCTTTTAGTCATGCTAATTTCTCTAGCAAGTGGTAGTTCTGCACCCTGCTTGGATTCTTTCTCTTCCACAGGGAACAGGCTGCAAATTTTCCAAACTTTTCTACTCTGCTTCCCTTTTAAATATAAGTTCCGGCCGGGCGCAGTGGCTCACGCCTGTAATCCTAGCACTTTGGGAGGCCGAGGTGGGTGGATCACCTGAGGTCAGGAGTTCAAGACCAGCCTGGCCATCATGGTGAAACCCCATCTTAAAAAAAAAAAAAGTTAAAAAAAAGAAATAAAATAAATATAAGTTCCAACTTTAAGTCATTCCTTTGCTCCTGCATCTCATCATAGACTGTTAGAAGCAACCATGCTACATCTTGAATGCCTTGCTGCTTAGACATTTCTTCCACCAGATACCCTTAAGTCATCACTCTTAAGTTCAAACTTCCACAGATCCCTAGGGCATGAACACAACGCAGCCAAGTTCTTTTCTAGGACATAACGGGTGACCTTTACTCCAGCTTTCAATAACTTTCTCTTTCCCTCCGAGACCTCATCAGCCTGGCCTTTATTATCCACATTTCTAGAAACCATTTGGTCACAACCACTTAACAAGTCTCTAAGAAGTTCCAAAATTTCCCTTGTCTTCCTGTCTTCTTCTGAGCTTTCCAAACTCTTCCAACTTCAGCCTGTTACCCAGTTCCAAAGCCACTTTCACATTTTCAGGTATCTTTATGGCAAGTTCACACTCTTCAGTACCAATATACTGTATTAGTCTGTTCTTGCGCTGCTACAAAGAAATAGCTGAGACTGGGTACCTTATAAAGAAAAGAGGTTTAATTTGGTTCACACTTCTGCAGGCTGTGCAGGCATGGCACCAACATCTGCTTAGTTCCTGGTGAGGGCCTTAGGAGGCTTACAATCATGATAAAGCAAAGGGGAGCCGGTGTATCACATGGTAAGAGCAGAAGCAAGGTCACTGTGGGGTGCAGAAGTACCACACTCTTTTAAACAATCAGATCTAGCATGAACTGAGGGAGAACTCACTCATCAACAAGGGAATGGTGCCAAGCCATTCATGAGGGATCTGCCCCTATGATCCAATACATCCCACCAGGCCCCACCTCCAATGCAAGGCCACATTTCAACATGATATTTGGAGGGGACAAACATCCAAACCATATCGGCAGCCTCCACCCTCCAGCCAGCAAAAAAACTGATGCTCTCATTCCAAAGGCATAAAGAACTGAATGAATCCTGCCAATAATCATGAGTGAGCCTAGAGGCAGATCCTTCCCCAGTTGAGCTGTGAGATGCCTGCAGTGCCAGCCAACACCTAGATTACAGCCTGTGACAGACTCTGAAGCAGAGGACCTATTTAACGCATATCTAGATTTCTGACCCACAGAAACTGTGAGGTGATAAATGTTGTGGTAAGCCCCTAAGTTTAATGGTAATTTGGTATACCAATAGATAATATGAGTTACTCCAATTTTTATTTTCATCTTATATCCAGTTTGGTAAATTGTATTTTTATGGAATTTGTCCATTTCCAAGCTAAGACCTTATAGTCCAATTTATTAATTTCCTTCAGAGATAAAGTATACCAATTCATTCGCTAAAAAAACTTCAGAAATAAAAATTTATGTCCACACAAAAACATGCATACAAATGTTCATAGTAGCTTTATTTGTAATAACCAAAAATTTTAAACATTCCAAATGCCATTCAATGGATTAATGGCTAAAGACACCATTACCATGGTGTCTAGTATACCATGTAGTATACCATGGATGTACATGGTATACTACCCAGCAACATAAAGAAAAGAACTATTACTGTATACATGAAATGATTTGGATAAATCTCAAGGGAATTATACTGATTGGAAAAAAAAAAAAAGCCAATCTCGAGCTTACAAATGGTATAATTTTAGTAATAGAACATTCCAAAAATGACAAAATTACAAAGACAGAGAACAGATTAGTGGTTGCCAGAGTTTAAGAATGGGAGAATGCGGGTAAGCAAGGCAAATGGATGTGACTATAAAGGGGTAACATGAGGGATCACTGAAGAGATGGAACAGTTCTCTTATTTTGATAGTCGTAGTGGTTCCACAAATCTGTATGTAAAAACGACATAGAACTTACACACACAAACATGCACGTGCATGTAAATGAGTGCATAGAAAACTGGTAAAATCTGAATAAGTTCTGCATTGAAGGAATGTCAAGTTTCTGGTTTTAGTATTATACTATAATTAGGGGCTGGACATGGGTGGCTAACACCTGTAATCCTAGCACATGACAATCCCCCATCTCTACAAAAAATACAAAAACTAACTGGGCGTGGTGTGTGCACCTGTAGTCCCAGCTACTTAGGAGGCTGAGGTGGGAGGACCACCTACGCCCAGAAGGCGGAGGTTGCAGTGGCGAGATCATGCCTCTGCTGCACTCCAGCCTAGGCAACAGAGAGACCTTTTCTCAAAAAAAAAAAAAAAAAAAAAATTATACTAGTTACATAACATGCTACTATTGGAGAAAGCATGTGAAACTATATGGTCCTCTGTACAATTTTTGCAACTTCTTGTGAATCTATAATTATTTTGAAATATAAGTGTGTGTGTGTGTGTGTGTGTGTGTGTGTCTGTCATGGACTCTTGCTCTGTTGCCCAGACTGGAGTGCAGTGGCACAATCTCAGCTCACTGCAACCTCCATTTTCTGGGTTCAAGTGATTCTCCTGCCTCAGCCACCCCAGTAGCTGGAACTACAAGCGCCCACCACCACACCCAGCTAATTTTTGTATTTTTAGTAGAGACGAGGTTTCAACATATTGGCCAGGATGGGAAATATAAAGCTTTTTAAAAACTTCAGTTGATCTTATCTAAAATTTTGGGTTTAAATACATATTAAATTAATTAATTTGTTCGAGATGGAGTCTCACTTTGTCACCCAGGCTGGAGCGCAGTGGCACAATCTCATCTTACTGCAACCTCCAAATTCCAGGTTCTAGTGATTCTCCTGACTCAGTCTCCTGAGTTACTGGGACTACAGGTGCGTGCTACCATGATTGGCTCATTTTTTAATATTTTTAGTAGAGGCAGGGCTTCACCACGTTGACCAGGTTGAACTCCCGACCTCAAGTGATCTGCCCACCTTGACCTCCCAAAGTGCTGGGATTACAGGTGTGAGCCACTGTTCCCAGCCCTAAATATCTATTTTAAATGACACCCTCCATCTGATTCTCACCGGAGTTGACTTTTGAGTAAAGACTTAAAGTGAAAGATCTAATCATGAAGATATTCCATGGGTATCTGAGATACTTTGTTAATGTGCATAATTATTTCAATAGATATTATAAAGGAAATAAAATCTCCCTGGAATTTCATTTCCTTGTTTCCTCTCCTTTACCTGGATCACCTATCCATGGATTTTCACCCTCTTCCTCCTTCCTGATTCTCCATTGTCACATACTTTAGGATGTATACAAGATTTCATGTTTTACAAATATTGGTCTGTTCTCAGCAATAGGCTTTGGGATTTTAAGCCAAATTTAATCCCCTATAATGAGTAGATGTCCAATAGACTCTCTACACAACAAATCCGGTCAATTGCTCTCTTCTATTTTTTAAATCCATCTCTTTTCCTCCATCCAAGCTTGGCCATGTTCTCAACACTTCTTACCTAGATTGCTGACCTGGCCTCCCTGCTGGTCTGTCTCCAGCTTTACCTTTCACGCCAATGGCTGATCTTTCTAAAATCCCAAGTTGTTTAGATTATATAACTTGTCTCTTTAGAATGGTATTCACTGTCCTTCATGGAGGTCCCTACCTCTTCTGTGACCTTGGGCAAAATCTCTATGATCTCTGCTTCCATTTTATGGTCCTAAGTCATGATATACTTATTGCACTTAAAACTGTTCTTAGAACATATTAAGTGCTCTAAGAGTTGGCTATTTATACTAGTGACTGAATCACCATTCCTTAAACACCTCTTCCATTGTAACACTTAGGGTCAATATAGGTTCTGATCACCATCACCATCACCACCTCCTTGGGAGGTAGAAAAGAGGCAGACAAATTAGAAATCTGATTCTACTACTTTGTAGTTATGACATCTGGGCAAGTTATGTAACATCTCAAACATAAGATACAGGTTATAACATCTCAAGTAAAGGATGGTAGTTTGTTTTTTCCTCTTTTCTGTCCAAGATAGTATACTTCAAGGGATTATAGTTAAAGATTGAGTGGGTCGTTGCAAAGGTAGAGTTGGAACTCGGGGTGCTTCCTCTACTTATCTCTCTGCTTGGTGCAATGTTATGTAGCCTACAGTCTAGCCAGAGGTCATTTTACAGAGAAGTGCTTCCTCTTGCTCATCACTACCACTAACCCCATAATTTCCCTTTGGGGTTTCCCTACACCCTACAGGCTGCACAAGAGCTCACTGAATTATTCTAACTTGTCTTCTGATTTTCCATACTGTGAGTTTCTAGAGAAGAGACTTATGTTTCATGGACCTTTAATCTTACTGACCATCATGGACAGGGGTTTAAAATGTATCAGCTGAATGAATGAATAAAACCACTGGAGGCCCAATGAAAATGGTGTCTAGATCCACCCAAGTCATTCTCTTGAGGTCCACAGGACTGTCTTCATACTTTAGTTATGTATCTGTCCTACTTTTCCCACTATACAGTAAACTCAGTACTATCTACATCCTCATCTCCCACACAGATAAAGTGCTGTGTGTTGAATGGATGAAGTGACTTGATAGAATTAAGGTATATCTCAACCTCCTTGGGTCTATCCATTACTTTCAGACCCTTCCCTATGATATAGGATGAGGCAGGTAATCATTTAAATCTCAAGGAGTGGCCTGGTAGTTCTGTTAAGCCAAAAACTATGCCAAGAAAACAAAGATAACTAAAATATACCATAAACTTAATATTGACATTAAACAAACAATTTTTAAGGTGGACAAATAATTTTATTTTGTGCATGCAAATACATGTCAAGTACTGCAAACTTTTTCCATCAATTTTCTCTCAAACACTGAAAATCATGATGCTCTATTTTGTGAACAGCCAAAGCTAATATCTCTTCACTTCAGTGCTACAGCAAAAACACACAGAATTCACTCTTTGCTATTCACTATCATCACAACCCTCATTGTTCCATCTCTGCCCTCCCCCCATATACAGGCCTTATAAATCCTAGTCTTCCCCCATTTAATCCTATTACTATAGCACAAAGGGAAACATTACAATTTGGAAATTCAAATTGAAATAAATGGAATAGAATTTATTCCCATATATATTTCCCATTTCATTGTACAGAATTATTTTAAATTATAGTTTTAAATAGAAGCTGAGTATATGCCTTAAAAATGAGCATTAAATCCATCTTAGAGATGGTGCCTGCTTTTTACATGATGGGTGTACACCATCTTTAATTTCATTTACATTTCAATCGAACAATAGATTTGCAAAGAAAATGTCTAATACAGACGTAAAAATATTCACACTAGAGCTTCACAATCGGTTGTACAATTGACAAACAGGCCTCTTTTCCCAAACTTTCCAGCTAAGCAAATTTATAAAATGTAATCAATGCAACAAGAAAAACATTTCTCTTTCACTTCCAGGGAAAAGAATATGCAATAAACAGTATAAATGCAGACAGCAGTTGCTGCAAGCTAACCACGATACTCCCAAGTGGCTGTACAGTGGATATGTGCAGTACAAATAAAAGCCACATGTGTTGTATCACAACTACAGTATAATTGTTTGCCCAGCTAAGAGAATGCATGCACTTCCATGCCTTGGGTTATAAAGTGAGGCCTAATTCTTGACAGGTTGATGGAGTATGTGCAAATGACCTTGGCTTTTGGCAGTACTAAGTGCAGCCAGTGTCTGTGTTCCACTGGTTTGGGGCTATTTTAAATTTTTTATTTAAAAAACAAAAAAACTGCCAATTTTAGACTCGAGGGGAATAATTGCTCTTGGAGTAAAAATAAGCCTCCACTCAAATGTGGGGTGTTTTGATCTATGGCCTTGACTCCTTGTATTCCCTTGCCAGCAAAAGGATACAAGGAAGCCGCTAGTATAAAGACATTACTAGCAAACTTATTCAAATTATCCAGAAAATGGGATACTCCTTGAGCATGTTCTTTCGTGTTCTGCTTGCAGAAGGGGTCCTTATGTAGAAGGAGTTACAGTAAGTGATCCCATCAAGCCTCTTCGTTCACTAAAACAAAAGAAAAGTTCTTCCAGGAAACCAATGCATAGTTGCAATGCAACTTTACCCATTAATGCTTAGTTATCAATACTGGTGACAGTCTGCTCAGAAAATGACTCAAAGAAGACAGGGAGGAAATGCTCAGATTCAAAGGTGAAATCACATGCTGAATCTGATTGTTATAAATTCCACCCCTGTTAACAAGACAACATAGGCTTTAATGTCTAAAATCCAAAAGCAAGCTAGATGGTTTTTAAAATAATTTTTTAAATGTTTTAATGATCCCATTTGAAATTCCTATAAATTGCAGTGCATCCTGTAATTTTCTCAAGGTAGCATATAAAATTGGGATGTGCTTTATATACTTCACTTGAAATCAGAATGAAAGTGACTAGATCCATACAAATGGAAAATTTCAGTTCTTGTATAGGAAGTTTCTTTTATTATCCTTTTACTAGAATAAATAGCTATGATGGGAAAGAAAAATCAGTGTCACTGGCCTAATGAACTCCCTTTTTTTTGAAAATTACAATGCACAACTTTCATGTATGACACTGGTTTACCACATGGCATTGAAAATAAGACATGGCAGCAAAGGCAAGGGAATCTGCTTTGTTCAGGTACCAACTAGAAAAAAAATATATGGAAATTTCTCCGAATTCATAAAATGAAATGAAACCACAAAAAAACTAATGCTACACCCACAGTAACTGAATGGGGCACATGGACTTCAGAATGGAACTTAGAAATTAAAAAACAAAAAATGAAAGAAAATAACCACCACTTTCCTGCTTTCCAGACCTCAGACTATTTTTTCTGATTAGACAATAGGTAACATAAACAGTTTGGTTACCCACATTACAAATTTCCTCTCTTGTTGCTTTGTATCCTTTGATTCCAAACGTGTACATCACATCTTGTTGGTAAAAAGGTCAAATGACAGGAAATGCCTCAATTTTAGGAAGTCATATCCTAGGTCTGATTTGTAACGTTTTCCTTGATGATATCAGGTACCATTCTGAAGAAGGGTCAGATGAACTGCCCTTTCTTCGAAAGTGGCAGAGAACCAACGGCTTTACTTCACATTAAACCCACCATGACAGACAGAAGGTGACCACTACATAGAGAATGGATGCAACACAGAATAATTTCAACACAGAAACAATTCCCATGTTGTTAGTGAAAAAGAGAGTAAGTTTTTAAGAACAGGGAGTTATTGTTTTATGGGCTCACCTGCTGCAAGACAAGCATTATTTTAATATAAATGTTCTGAGACATACCAATAAGGTTGGCAGGTATATACATATACTGATGCAAATGTAATTTCACTGGACAAGTAGGCAAACATCTAAGCAGTTTATCCCAACCCCCTCCAGCAGAGCACAACCAAGTTTCAAAATTTCAATTTTAAAATTAAAAAGATAAGGTTAAATACACAAGATCAATTTATGTAGTATATATTCACCCTCAGAACGTGCTGAAGATGTTTTGTGTAGTTCTGTTGCACAGAGGGTTCTTTCCCTGAGGGCACATAAGGAGCTCTCAAACTGTTAATAGGTCTCTATTTTGTAACAAAATAGCAATTTTAAAATCTTAAAAAAAAATACATTACCTTCAACATGGAAGATCTCACTATTAAATATCCATGAAATAGACAGACTGGTTTGCATATCCTTTTTGGAATTACAAACAGCAAATAAAGTACATTGGAAGCATTTCAAATGTAATAAGCACATATTTATAGAAAGGTTCTGATATAAATTATATAACAATCATGTTCCTGTAATATTCTACGCTAATTTATAATGTCAGAAATAAGTTAATGTAACATGGTTTAAAACTCTTGTTCCTATTCATTTCAGGTTACAGAGTGAAATAAATAAAATGTCTTTGTAGGGATAGGGAGCACTGGCCGTGGCAAAAAGGTACAGTACTAACCAAAGGAAACTAAATCAAGGCTACTGTGCTGTTGTTATGCTACAAACAAACATCTTCATACATTTGAGTATTAAATAAATGTGTAAGATCTTCCATACTGACACCAGAATATCAAAACTACCCCTTTGTTTCTCAGGTATATTTACAACTTATCAGTCACCTTATGAGCATGTTCATTAAGACAGGTATCAAACACCAGTATTTACTCATTCTAATCAAGAAATTTCAGGGAAATGTCAACCCTCCCGCCCCTGGAAATGTGCACAAAACTTTTTATCAAAATCTTATCTGATACAATGCTGTGGTTTTGTAAAACAACTAAATAGCTCAGACGACCAATAACATGATCCTGTTTAAGCATCTTGCTAGCAGGAAAAGCCCTTACATACAGTACACCTGGTGAAAGATCAGCTTGGCTTAAAATATTCCAGTACAATTTTCAGAGTAAACAACTTCACAGAAGTTAATTAAAAAAATAATAAAAGTCAAACTAATCTTAAAGAAACAGAAAAAATACCCAAAAAACAGAAAGATAAACTATAGGTAAGATCACCAGGAAGGAATGCCCAGCTTTACTTTTCAAATGTTGACTGAAATTTAGGTTTCAATACAATACCTCTCACAAATCTGAGGCATGACTGGTTGAACATACTGTATAATTTCAGATACCAAGTCAAAACCATTTCAGTCACATTTTAGCAAGGCAGAAATTATTCATGTTTTTAAGTATGAATAAATGTTAGCCAATGTTCTACTATTACATGGTTCATAGTCTTATCAACCTAACAGTCAAAAAAACAAGAAAAACTAAACCCCAACATGAAGTAACATAAACAATATTTAACCAAGATAATGCAATGAACATCCAAAGTAATTAGTTTAAATTAAAAACCCAGCAATACCATCTTGTTAGTCAGTGCAAACGCTACATACAGGGTTTTCTCAAGACAGCTGAAAGCACCTGATTCTTTTGCCAAGTCATCAGATTCAATAATGTACAGGCTTAAATCTGCATTTTAAAAAACTGCCATTACATTAGTGCATAATTTATCAAAATTGTAAAAACGATTCTGCATAACTTAGGAGAATTTAATATCTAGTACATCAGCTGAAAGACTTAGGCACTTGGTTATATTTTTAATTAATTACTTCAACAAGTAGCCTGTGTATAAATATTAACAAAGCAGAAATTATTCTTGAAAAATGGAAAATTAAAAAAAAATTAAATGCTACAGATAAAAGCACTGCACCACACTCCTACATATAATGCAGTAAAGAAAGCTAGTATATAACCCTGTAAAATTCTATGGTAAGAACATCTAACTCCACTCTTCAAAATTAAAAAAAGAAAAAGAAATCCATGCAAAGTTCCATGAAAAAGATAAATAAAGCAGCTGGAATGAGATGGAAACTTCTCTCAGTGAAACATAAAATAGAAATAAATAAGTTAACTAAGTCTACTTTCACTAGATGTATCATTGTAGGATCCTGCTAGTTTAATAACTGAGTTGTTAATTTTCTATAGAAGCCATTTAAAATAGGAAATGGCTCAGTTACTGCACCGGATTGCTACAAACTCATAAAAAGCTGCTTGAAGCTTAAGTTAAATGTTGTCCAAATTCCAATCACTTCTGGAAAGTGAACATGTTATCCTAGTAAAGTAAATTTTTTTTTTTTCATAATGCTAATGCAAGAGGGCTTGAAGTATCAAAGAGTCCACAGGAAATGGATGCCCCCAGTAATATCTTTTTTTAAAAAAAATATACATTATATAATATATATTATATATATAAAAAGCTAGTGTAAATGCTTCCATGGTGTGGTCACAAATTTGAAAGATGAACCTCCTTTCAGCTGTTAACCATCTTCCCATTTGCAACAGGTTTTAAAAAGTCGTTTTTATCTTCAGATATGACATGAGTTTTCAGAATGAGGTTGCCAACACTGACAGATGTGGTGATGGGGAGGCAACTTGCATTGCTAATAGACACTGCGAGTGGCTGGCTAAAGCAAGAAGTTACTGGCAGAATTGTTTTTTGCTCCTCCCTGGGTAAAAAGAAATGACATTAACAACAAATTAGCTTTAGGTGAAAACTTTTAAGAGTAACCGTACGTACTTAATAAAAACTACATCAAACTTTAGGAACTCCTAGCAAAGACATGTCTTTATCACTAGAAGTATCAGAAGTAACTAGAAAAGTCCTGTTTTCCTTTTTCTGAGACAGAGTCTTGCTGTGTTGTCCAGGCTGGAGTGCAGTGGCATTATCTCGGCTCTCTGCAACATCCACCTCCTGGGTTCAAGCGATTTTCCAGCCTCAGCCTCCCGAGTAGCTGGGACTGCAGGCGCGTGCCACCACACCCAGCTAATTTTTTTGTATTTTTAGTGGAGACGAGGTTTCACTGTGTTAGCCAGGATGGTCTCAATCTCCTGACCTCATGATCCGCCTGCCTCGGACTCCCAAAGTTCTGGGATTACAGGCGTGAGCCACTGCGCCTGGCCTGCTATTTTGTATTTTTAGTAGAGATGGGATTTGACCACGTTAGGCTGGTCTCAAACTCTTGACCTCAAATGATCCGCCAGCCTTGGCCTTCCAAAATGCTGGGTTTATAGGCGTGAGCCACCAGGCCTGGCCTGAAACATCCTATTTTCCAAAAATTATGATAAATATTAAAATACGAGTTAAAGACCATACAAAGTATCAAGTTGATGATTAAGTCCATATTTTTGGTAGTAATTATTTAAAATGGCAGTATTATAGCCAATAAATTTTTTTTTTAAATTTGGGGTGGAGTCTCGCTCTGTCACCTAGGCCGGAGTGCAGTGGTGCAATCTAGCTTACTGCAACCTCTGCCTCCCAGGTTCAAGCGATTCTCCTGCCTCAGCCTCCATGTAGCTGAGACTACAGGCGCCTGCCCCTACGCCCAGCTAATTTTTTTGTATTTTTGTAGAGACAAGGTTTCTCTGTGTTGGCCAGGCTAGTCTTGAGCTACTGACCTTGTGATCTGCTGCCTCAGCCTCCCAAAGTTCTGGGATTACAAGCGTGAGCCACCACGCCTGGCCTAGTCAAGAAAATCTTAACATGATTTTTAAAAAGAGAAACCCTTAATCTAGGTTTTAATTCTCCATTTGGTAGTCTAGAAGTTTGGCTACCAGATTAAAGAAGCATAACCTGATGCTAGAACACAGATTAACTTTATCTCAACAAAAAGCAAGTTTTAGGCTACTAAAATGGACCACTTTGTTAGTTCAATTTTACTTTTCCTTCCCTAAATATCCAGACTGACCAAATCATTACCCATATAAGATCTTCCCCTCAGAGCATAAAGCCAAAAATGAATTTAACATCTGTTTCTCTTTATTATGCCCTATGCCCACTGGTTATGAATTTTCTGTCTAACACTCACAGAATCACATGGTCTTCACCTAAACTCTGTTTCTTCTGCTTTGGTGGCTCCTTTTGGTGCTGCTGCACTGGATGCCCATTTTCCACTGCTGTTCCATTTAGCAACTGATCATTTTGAGAACTGATGCCAAGCTGTATGTCCAGGATCTCCTAAGAAAATAAAATATTAATCCTTCAGTATGAAAGTTTTATACTTTTAAATTTTCAATTGAACAAAGCCTCTCAATTATCTAATTGTGGCACTTACTTCAATTGGTTCACTTTGACCATCAGGTTCATCAGTATCAAGTGCTGAAAGCTCTAACTCGATATCCCTATCAGGTTTAGTATCTGTTGCATCTTCTGTATAATCACTCTGTAACTAAGAAAAATACTGATTTTATACCTGTGGAACCTGGGCCTTCTCTTTTAAATTAAAATAAAAAATTCCAATGATCAGCCAGGCACAGTGGCTCACACCTGTATTCCCAGCACTTTGGGAAGCTGAGGCAGGAGGATCATTTGAGGTCAGGAGTTCAAGACCAGCCTGGCCAACATGGTGAAACCCTGTCTCTACTGAAAATACAAAAATTAGCTTGTTGTGGTGGTGGGTGCCTATAATCCCAGCTATTCGGGAGGCTGAGGCAGGAGAATCACTTGAACCTGGGAGTCAGAGGCTGCAGTGAGCTGAGATCATACCACTGCATTCCAAACAATAGAGTAAGATTTTGTCTCAAAAAGAAAACAACAACAAAAAAAAAATCCCAGTGATCTAGTTAAAGAATTATTTAAGAAATCTAGGACTACAATTTTATTTCTATTATAAGTTTTAAAAGCAATCCGTCATCCATCAGAAACAGGCACACCAAAATGCGCTCAGTAATGGTATAACCAAGATGCAACAGCAGAAAACAAATACATTAAGCAAGAAGCCAAAAGGTTCAGTTTCTTTACCTCTCCATTTCTCAGTTCAATTTCCTTGCTTAAAAGATTTAAGGTAAGGTGACGGCCTTCATCCAGGGAATTCCACTTCTGTTGCATGGCCAAAGCATTGGCCTCTCTCTGAAGAAGTAATGAGTTGCTCTTGGCCTATATGAGGAGAGAAAAAAAGTAAACTTAACTTCCAACCATAGCTTTCAACTGTCATTCTGTTTTTAAAAAACTAACACCTGAGTTACAGAGCCTACCTGCTGAAGTTCAAGGCTCAAAAGGTCCCCAGTACTGGAATGCTTTCTATGACCAGACAAATCAGTAACAATGAATCTGTCCCTTTAAAGAGAAAGATGTTTACTGTAATAAAAGTGAAGTGAATGAAGCAACAAAAGCAGAAATAACCATACGTTTTATCTGACGGATCAACCCTGAAAACTTGAGTCATCATTCCAAATGTAAAAGCAAATATTTTTCAGAAATTGGTTACATAGCTAAGACAAGCAAAGCACATTTCATGAACTGGGGGTAGGATGTGTACTCTTAAGATACATACAAGTCTGAGAATGGAGAATCCTATAGAATTAGGAAAAAAAGTTACCTTTCAATATAATGTGCTGATGATGTGGCCTCGTTGCCATATGAACTCCACCTTGAATCAACAGCATTGACATAAGGGACATAATCTACAGACACGAAAGAAACAATGATCAAAAAAGTAAAAAATCAATGTACTGATGTGAATGTGTACTTCTCAAAATAGATCTGTATTCTATCCCACTGGCCATATGATGCTGTTAAACCACCCAATTCTGAGTTTCCTATGGTTATTAAATGAAGGGAAATGTTTTCCATCTCACAAGTTGAGAATTAAAATGCAAGTACCTGGGTCAGGCACAGTGGCTCATACCTGTAATCCCAGCACTTTGGGAGGCTGAGGTGGGTGCATCACATGGGGCCAGGAGTTCCAGCCCAGCCTGGTCAACATGGCAAAACTAAAATAAAAAATACTCTCTACTAAAAATATAAAATTAACCAGGTATGGTGATACATGTCTGCAATCCCAGCTACTCGGGAGGCTGAGGCAGGAGAATCGCTTGAACTGAGGATGGAGGTTGCAGTAAGCCGAGATCATGCCACTACACTCCAGTCTGGGTGACAAAGTGAGGTTCTGTCTCAATTAAAAAAAAAAAAAAAAACATAGTTCTTAGAACTTATCAGGCTAGGTATTATGTAAATGGATTACCTGATACACTGATGGGCTTAGTTGCACTTCCTTGGGAAGCAGTGGCCTGGACGGGATCTGTGGTATGGTATCCTGTACGGGAAGATCTGGAAATTGCACCCCATTTTGAGATGATGGGTCCATCACTAAAGGGAATTATTGGATCTTCTTCTTTTGTCCTTCTCTGAGTTTCAAATAGATGTACTCTTCTCTTAACATCGCCACTGTCCAGGTCCTATATAAACCAAAGAAAATCAATAAAAGGACTGTTGGCAATTACTTCAGCTAGTAAATATATGCTAACAAAAGACATATAATTAGATTTTTTGGCAAATTTAAAACTAGCTCTAGACATCAATGATATTCCAACAAGCTGCCATTAAACCACCAATGTTCAAATAATTTAAACATTAAATGTAATTTATTTCAGACTTACCTAAATATACCCAGCTAATGATGAGTTATAAGGCAACAATATGAATGAATAAATAGAAAACATTCATTATACAACTTGAGTGAACATGCATCATCTCTCACCTCCAACCCCTGCAACCCCAGCAAAATCATACCATTAACACAGCATTTGAATTAGCAATTACATCTTTGGGCTCTGAATCGATGGCATTTATACAGGAGCCTATGGTGCCACAAGACCACGGAGAATAATGGGAAAGATGTTCTTCTTCAAATTTTGTACCACTCACACTCTCTGAGAACTGGTTAAAAAATCAAAAATAGAAATAAAGCCAATTAGTAAGAAGCTTAAATTTACACTTATATTATAAATATAAATTTTATGTTATTTATATTTTATATTAAATTTATATTAGTTACCTATAACTAATATAAAGTAACTATTATAGAATTCAGAGGACTTCATAGTGAACGATTATACTCTTTCAATAACTAATATAAAAAACTGTAATAAACAACAAATGGTATTTTGACAATAGAAAATGGCATGCTTTCCCTTTTCACTTTGTCCTTTAAGTGCTCATATGGAACATCTGACTAATAACTATCAAAACCAATTAACAAGTATTTATAGTATGCTACTAATATGGTATTGGGTGCTCCAAGAAAAAAAAACAGAGAAAACAAATACATAGATACACACAGAGTTCACAATCCGTATCCTAAAGGAGTTTATAATTTTCTTTTGAGACAGGGTCTTACTCCCACCGCCCAGGCTAGTGGGCAGTGGGGTGATCACAGTTCACTGCAGCCTCAACTTTCCGGGCTCAGGTGATTTTCCCAACTTAGCTTCCCAAGTAGCTGGTACTACAAGTATGTGCCACTATGCCCAGACAATTTTTTGTATTTTTAGTAGAGATGGGGTTTTGCCATGTTGCCTAGGCTGGTTTCAAACTCCTGGGCTCAAGCAATCCACCCACTTCAAACTTCCAAAGTGCTGGGATTATGGGCATGAGCCACTGCACCCAGCCGAGTTTATAATTTTCTTGAGAAAAAGAACACCATGTGCAAATAAGGGAATATAACTGATAAATTATGCAGTATCAAGTAAAAAACAAAAGGAATTCAAAGAAGGCTTTGGAGCTAAAGGAGAAATAAATTTTAAATGGACGTGATTAAGAATACTATAGGACCGGAATACAAAAGTTGTAAGAATTATTAAATCTAGTTTACTAATTATTCAGATAAAAAAAAAAAACTCAAGGCCAAAAAGGTTAAATAGCTTTTCTTAAGTCAAACTCAGCAGATCTGAGTCTCAGAGAAATAATGATTTCCTGAAGCCTAGTATATCGAAAAAGAAAATACAAGCGGCATCTATAAAGGAAGTGGCAGCTCTGTCACTCTGTTGTCAAGATATTTACTTGCTTTGAAGAAGTCTAAGTTTGATAAGACCAGTTTGGATCTGGTTTAAAAATTCAATGCTTTATTGAAATATTTATGGATTAAAAAATATAATGCCTAAGATTACTTCACAACAATCCAGTGGGAAGAAGGGGTACAAATAAGACAGTATTGACTGAGTTGATAACTGTGGAACCTGGGTGTTGGGTACAAGTTATTACGTTATTCTCTCTATACTTGCATATGTTTGAAATTTTTTATAATGAAAAGATTTTAACATTTTTAATATCATAACTTCAGGGATGGGGAATAAACCAGAAGAAACTTTAAAAATAAATTAATGGTTTTCTCTAAATATAACAGTACTGAAAACATCATATTAAATTAAAATCATCTTGATACAAAAATTTATTTTGTAATGCCAAAAACAATAATTAAAGTGATGTAAAGAGAATAAAAAATACCGTAGGTATTTCTGCATCTCTTGTGAAGTAGGGAAGAAATACCTCAGATAGCCCAGGATTCAAATCCCAGCTATTTAAAGGCTGAAAGATCTCGGGCAAATTATTTAACTTCTGTGAGTAGGATTCCCACCCTGTAAAATATGGAAAATACCTGCCCCCTAAGGTTTTTGTGAGAATTAAATAAAATAGCTTTATGCAATTGCTTAGTACAGTACTGGCAAATGGCTTTATGAGTAGGTGCTCAATAAATGATAGATATAAATCACACTAAATAAAAAACCATAAAATAACTATATTACTGGAAAGATTTTGAATTCTTGGTAAAGGACTATGGGTTAATGGTCTTCAGAGTCTCATAACACCTAGCTGTAGTGCACATATATTCAGTGTTTATTGAACTAAACTCAACTGCACACCAAACCATTGCAAAATATCCAACATAGCCAATCCTGGTTTGAATGAGTAATTTGAAATCAGCTATTTGACCTATCCCTGTGACATCAAGTAATTAAAACCTTTCTTACATCCGCACGAAAGTCTACACTGAATAGAGGAGAAGGTGGTGTTGGTGACTGTGTTGCCACAGGAAGAGTTGAAGAGACAAGAGGTGCTTTCTGAGTGTGGTACTGTGCCCACTGATCTGGCTTTCTTCTTATCTGCTCCTCGCAACTGGTCTTCAAATGACCACAAGGTTCCTAATGGGGGATAAAAGAAACAATCTTAATCATCTAGGGAGTGGTCAATAATTTAACTATGTGAAAATAATGTAAACAGTTTATGATATTGTTGGGATAAAAAAAATACAGCAGGGAAAGTCACCCTAGTCTGTTCTCCATACACTGAAATAAAAAGGTTTAATATTTATTCAACCGATGTTAAAAGCAAAATCTGAGCACTCACTTTACTGGTTTAGGAAAGTCATTTGTATATATGTGGTGATACTGAAAAAAGGCCCTAACCTTGTATTTTTAAGATTTCTTTCAACTTTCCCAACAATTTCCTATCCAAACATAACATTTATTGAGCATTAACATGTATCAGGCCCAGTTCTAAGAGGTTTGATTTCTAATTTAATTCTCACAACAGCCTTATGAGGTAGGTACTACTATTATTTCCATCAAATGAATAAACTGAGGCATCGAGAGGTCAAGTAAATTCCTTAAGTCACACAATTAGTAAGTGGAAGAGCCAGGATATCTACCTGGGTGGTTTGACTCCAGACACTGGGCTCTTAATGACTACATTATAGCAGCACTCCAATTTCCATCATCACTTACCCTTGGTAAAGGCACAGTTGTCCTTGGCTCACTTGGTGGCTGACAAGCCACCGAGTAATACCCATCTAATGAGTTATATCTTTCCCGCAAAGATGTCTGATAGACAGATGAGTGCATCACATCCATTGGAGGTAAAGAATTGCTTCTAATAATGTCATCTCGTTGGTACATAGGTGGGCGCCAGATGCGCCTGCTGTCGTACACAGGAGCGTACATTCCAGAAGGTACTGGAGGAACTGGTCCATACGGCTGCGGAGGAGGAGGTTGGTAAGGAGAAGAATTCATTCGATCTCGAGGGGAAAATGTACTGTAATGATCGGCATATGGCATGGAAGCAGGTGGGAGGGAGGACTCTGGAACATTATTGGACCTCACAAAGCGAGGAACACAGGGAGCCACACCAGCTGGTACCGTTGGAGGTGGTGGATAGTACCCTTGAAAATTGGAAAGAGGAATATTTAATGTAATCTTAGTACAATCCAACATTTTACAATGGCTTAAATCTAACGCAGCCCTTAATGCCGGAAAATATAGTAAGCTGTGAACCTTACCTTATCCTGCTTTACAAAGCTTTATACAGCGCTTTTTTTTTTTTTTTTTTTTTTTTGGGGTAGAGACAGAGTCTCACTATGATACCCAGGCTGGTCCTGGGTTCAAGCGGTTTTCCTGGTTGGGCCTCCCAGAGCGCTGGGATTATACGTGTGAGCTACCATGCCTGACCATAAGCTACATATTTTCAAGATATCACTATATGAAAATCATTAATATTCAATACTTTTGTTAAAGTACTCTTTAAAACACACGACAGAGCTATTAATATACAGCTGGCAAATATCCTATTGCCACCGGTTTTTGATCAAATAATCAGTTACATCATTGATTTTTATTAACCTTTTTGGGAGAAGAGGTAGACCTCTTTCGAAATCTATATAAGTTTTTCATTGTATTTCCAAAATTGCACATAAGCATACATAAACTTTTTTTTACATCATTTTAGGGAACTTACAGAAAACCCCCTGAAGTTCACTCCTGAACCCATATTTGATTTGTAAGAATGACAACTTTAAAGCTGTTGGTATTTAGAACCACAGATCCTTAGGGGAAGGAAGAAAACTTAAAAGTCATATAGTCAAAAGGATTAATTTTTTTAAATGTAGACATTCTAGAACTATTCACTCATTTATCTAAGGGAAACAATATATCTTTTTTTCCTTAGAATTGTTTAAAATTACTCACCTGTCTGTGGGTACTGTGGGACTTCAAAGGGTATCTGAGTCCTTGGATCTTGAAAATACTGAACGTTTTCAGAATGCGGAGGATATACTGGTACTCTAGTTAGAAATGGGCTGGATTTTTGAGGCACAGAATTCAGCTCTGTTCCAACATTAGAGGGCCCAGCTGAGGTAGCTGCTACATTACTTACAGGAGTCTTGGGTGGAGAACCAATTTTACTGGAGAGAAAATTTAATAAAGGGCAAAGGATAAATCACTGTCTATGATTGTCCTCCTTAGTAGAAATTTTTAGTAAAATTATATTCAGAAACCACTAATAGAAAACATTTCAGATATTGCCACATTGACAAATAAAACAATGAATTTCACTGCCACCTTATAGAGCTAATTTACATGATCATGGTAACAGATGTCATATTCTGGTGTGGGCCACAGAGAATAAAAACAATTCCCAGATATTAATATGACTCATCAGTTGCCATTTACCCAAATTTTTTTTTTTTTTTTTTTTTTTTTTGAGACAGGGTGTCACTCTGTCACCCAGACTGGAGTGCACTGGCACAATCATAGTAACAGCTCACTGCAGCCTTGACCTCCTTGGCCTAAGTGATCTTCCCACATCAGCCTCCAAAGCAGATGGCACTACAAGTATGCACCACCATAACGGGCTAATTTTTAATACATTTGCTGCTCAGGAGGGTCTCAATCTCCTGGGCTCAGGCAATTCTCCTACCTTGGCCTCATAAAATACTGGAATTACAGGCATGAGACACCGTGCCTAGCCACTACTCATTCTTTAAAAAAAGATTTTTCCCTACTGAAGGTTAAAAAAAAAAATTCTGTTCAATAAGTTCTCAACAGAAATAATATAGTCCACTAGTAGAATTCTTTGGGACAAAGAAAACAGACATGTAAAGAAAGGGGCTGTTTTCTATGAGGAGTTAGATTAGCTGAAATATAAGCTCCTTGAGGAAAGGCCACTTTGTTTATTTTGATAACTTCTATATCCCCAGCACCTAGAACAGCTCCAGGCAGAGTAGGCACTTTGTAAATATTTGTTGGACAAATAAAACTGTTCCTGGCATGCAGTAAGTACTCAGTAAATAGTTACTGGATGAATGAAATGGTAACTCATTAAACTGATGATGCAAAACACACCAACCTATTATTATTATTATTAACACAAAATAATTTTCTTGGTTGAGTCACTAAGTAATTAGCTCGAGAGGATCTAATTATGGCTTTCTTAACCACTTTTAAGAAGTAAATGTTGACAGAGCTTTAGATATGTGACGACTGAAGAAAATGATCTTGTTAATTATGCAGGAACTTAATACACTGCATCTCAACCAGATTAGAGGGTTTTTCTCAAACTAGAAAAAGCATTTTAAAGCTAGGGCATAAATAAAAGGTATATGGGCTGTCTTTAAGTTTAACACAGATTAGTCTAGCAGATGTTTACTTCCACGTGTAATTGCGTATTAAAACAAAAAAATAACTAAGGAAGTATAAATAATAGTAGGTACAAATGTATGGGTTTGGAGTATAAAGATATTTTAGAGCTGTGCTTATTCTTTACATAAGTAAAATAGAGACAACAAGGAAAATGATTAGGATTTCCTTAAAACAATAATAACAAATATTTATCAAGTAGCTATTTGAGTCTATTCCAGGCACTATGCTTTACAGAGATTATCTGGTCCCTCTGTGTCAAAATGTGATATACCCTAAAATTTGGATTAGTACTTTCGAACGGTAAACTCACAGACTTATCAACAAAAAGGCAACAGGATCTATGATAAGGTAAACATTCATAGCCTCATGAAATCACGCAAGCTATCTTCGAACTTAAGGAAAACTTCGAACTTAAGGAAAAAAGCTAATCTTCAATCACATCCTAGTCAGAATTAGATCACTACCCTAGATAACTTTCAGGATTCTAGGCTCTTCCCATGGCAGCTTCTCTCATACCTTATTGATTTTGCCTGTGCTGCCTTCTCCATCCACAAGGTCCTTCCTTCTTTACTATCCATACTTTTGGAAATAGCTCAGGTATCATCACTTTACCTATAAGAAGCCATCCACAATACCTCTAATAGGATTAGTTCTTCTTTTTCCTGTGTTCCAATAACAACTGGAACAATTATGTTGCAATAAAAATTTAGATTTATTTTTTTTATTTTTTTTGTTTGTTTGTTTGTTTTTGCTTATTTTTCTGAGATGGAGTCTCGCCCCCATTGCCAGGCTGGAGTACAGTGGTGCGGTTTCAGCTCACTGCAACCTCCACCTCCTGGGTTCAAGCAATTCTCCTTGAACCCAGGAGGTGGAGGGTTCAAGGTGTCAGGAGCTACCACACCCAGTGATTTATTTTTTTAAAAGTTTTTACTAGCTGGGCATGGTGGCTCACACCTGTAATCCCAGCACTTTGGGAAGCTGAGGTGGGCAGTTCACAAGGTTAGGAGTTCGAGACCAGCCTGGCCAACATGGCAAAACCCCGTCTCTATTAAAAATATAAAAATTAGCTGGGCCTGGTGGCAGGTGCCTGTAATCCCAGCTACTTGGAAGGCTGAGGCAGAAGAATCACTTCAACCCGGGAGGTGGAGGTTGCAGTGAGCCTAGATCACCCCATTGTACTCCAGCATAAGTGACATTGAGAGACTCCATCTCAAAAAGAAAAAAAAAAGGTTTTACCCTAGTTCATTTTGTTTAAAAATTGAGATATTGTTATTATTCATTATTTTAGGATGTACAATTCAGTAATTTTTAGTATATTCACAAGGTTGTCCAATTATCACCACTATCTAATTCTGAAACATTTTCATCATTCCCAAGAGAAACCTGTACCCATTAGCATTTACTCCCCATTCCTGTCCCAACCCTAAACCCCTAGAAAGCATTAATCTCCTTCCTGTCTCTATGAATTTGCCTATTCTAGACATTTAACATAAATGAAACCATATGTGACCTTTTGTATCTGGCTTCTTTCATTTAGCATGTTTTAAAGGTTCATCCATATTATAGCACATAATAGTACTTCATTCCTTTTTTATGGCTGAATAATATTCCATTGTATGGATGTAAAACAGTTTTACAACATTACCTTGCCAAAACTCTTCAAAAGCTTATTTCCTAAGCATGTATACATAAGGTATTCATAATCTGGTGCAAACCTATCTAATCTTATTTTACACTAGTCCCTAACATAAGCCTTCAGATCTGAAAGGCTGGTCTCTTTAGTATTCCATATAATTACAAACAGATTTAATCCATGTTATGTTGTTCTTTTTTTCTGTAATTTCCCATATTTCTCCCAGCGATATAAAATTTTCCTGTCCTTTAATCCAACTTCAGTATTGTTTCATATGTGTAAATGCTATTTCTACAACTATATCATAACTCCCTTAAAAGCAGAGCTATCTTATGTTTCATGTGCCAAAAACAGAGCTCCAAGACCGAGTGCACAAATAACATTTGTTAACTAGACAATGTTCTCACATATATCTTTTCAAAATCTTGCCCAGGGAAGACTGTAAAAGTCCTTTACTAAACAATTTCCCCCATCATATGCTGACTGCAGAAATAGCAAATGTTACTGTTTATCCATCCATCATTGATTGCTATGTGCCTAGCATGATGTTTTTTTCCTAGCAGGCATAAAATAGATACTGATAGACTATTTTTAGGCAACGAAATCTGAATATCAATATACTGATGAATATTTTATTACATCATACTCAAGATTTTAGAGTTGGAAATAACTTTCGGATCATCTGAAAATTTAAACATTTTTTTCTAAAGGCACCAAAACCCTTTGACAAACAAAATCTTATGCTGACATGCAATAACAATTAACAGTGATAATAATAATAAAGCAAATATTTACTAAGTGCTTCCTGTCTGGCAAGCATTGTTCAAAGCATACTGGAGTATTCATTCACTTAACCCTCATAACCAACATATGAAGTTGATACCATTATAACTCTAGTTTTATGAATTAGTAAACTAAGGCAGACAGATTAAGTAGCTGGCCTAAGTTCAAACAGCTGGGAAACCATGAACCAGAACTTGAGCCCACAGATTCTGGCTCCAAAGTGTCCCCTCTTAAGTGCTACACCTCATTACAGAGCATAAAGTGAAAGTGCTCTAACTGAAACAGAGCTAGAGGCTCAGCATTTTACCTGCTTAGGTTTCTATTTAGTTCTTTTCTAGAACCTCTATGGAATCAACACTACAGTTCAAGAAATTAAGATGTGAAAAAACCAAATTCTGGTCCAGTCTCCAGTGTACAGTTGAGGAAAACAAAACTCAGAGTTAAAGTCACTTTCCAAGTTCACAGGGCTATTCGGTTGCAGAGCCAAACTAGAACTCAAATTTTTTAGTATTTAGTGTTTTTTCTATATCAAGAAATATTTTGCATAAAAATTCTGATTAACTGGTATTCTTCAGGAGAAATAAAAACACTCAGGCATTTCTAAAAAGGAAAAAAAATTTCTATTAATTGTTTTTACCTAATACCTACTTTTCAGTTACAGAATCTGCAGAGGGCCCAGCAGCATTCTGACCATTAGTGCCAACCTTTCCCACTTTCTTCACGGTCTCCAGAGCTCTTAAGGTACTGTCAGTACCACGTGAGATTAGCTGGGAAACACTGTTTTCTGCATTTGAAATTCCATTTGTACTTGCAACAATTTTCCCTGTTGTTTCAGTACTTCCTATGACAGAAATGACATTTCCGGCTGTGGTTGTAACAGTGTTGTTTACACCAACTTTATTTAGAAGAGGAAACGTTCTTACAGTGGCATTGATCTTTTTGTTCCTTAATCGATACCTGTTTCAAAAACAATCAACATATTGGTGAATATTTTACTAAATCTCACTCAAGAAAAAATACGGCAATGGGCAGTGGGAAAAGATTGAAAAAGGAGAAAACACCTTTGACAAAACGTTTCTTCAGCTAAATAATCAAATAAAGTCTATATATCAAATTCTACTACAACAGACCCCACATGAAAATATATGTCATTCACATATGTATATAATATACATGTAATTAATATAGCAAGCAGAGTATACGTGTATTCTTTTTTTTTCCCCCTCATGTCACTTTGTCCAAGAAGGTATTCAAAGAAATCTTTTGAAGGAGTGAAAAGAGATCATTTGAAAATTTTGTATTACTAGAATATAAAGTGCATTATGTAAAAATGACAGGAACTGGCAGCAAATTTGGTTAAGAACACAGAGTAAAGAGAAAAGGTACGCAAGAGCTGAAGCCACTCTGTTGTTACCAAACTGTTTAAGAATTGTTAAAAATAATTTTAAAAACTCATTTCTAAACAAACATTACACAAAAATGTAGAAATTCTGTATTATATTTTTCAGATTAGTTTATACCTAAAGTTAAAAACATTTGTATTATTTTTCTGATACTGTTTTGAATATTATTTATGGTGATCATTGGATATAATACTCTAACACACAAAAGGACTGGCCATTTGATTTTGGATTCCATTTAAGAAAATTTGTTTCCCCATATATACCAAAATTTCATTATAATGTAATTCTTTTTTTTTTTTTTTTTTTTTGAGATGGAGTTTTACTCATGTTACCCAGGCTGGAGTGCAATGGCGCGATCTCGGCTCACCGCAACCTCCACCTCCTGGGTTCAGGCAATTCTCCTGCCTCAGCCTCCTGAGTAGCTGGGATTACAGGCACGCACCACCATGCCCAGCTAATTTTTTGTATTTTTAGTAGAGACGGAGTTTCACCATATTGACCAGTATGGTCTCGATCTCTTGACCTCGTGATCCACCCGCCTCGGCCTCCCAAAGTGCTGGGATTACAGGCTTGAGCCACCGTGCCCGGCCTTATAATGTAATTCTTAACAATGTTCCCTCCAATTTTTTTTTCTTTTTGAGACAAAGTTCCATTCTTGTCACCCAGGCTGGAGTGCAATGGTGCAATCTTGGCTCACTGCAACCTCTGCCTCCTGGGTTCAAGTGATTGTCCTGCCTCAGCCTCCCAAGTAGCTGGCATTACAGGTACGTGTCCATCACCAAACCTAGTTAATTTTTGTATTTTTAGTAGAGATGGGGTTTTGCCATGTTGGCCAGGCTGGTCTTGAACTCCTGACCTCAGGTGATCTGCCCTCCTCGGCCTCCCAAAGTGCTGGGATTACAGGCATAAAGCCACCATGCCTGGCCCCTCCAATATTTTTAAAGCAGTGAAAAACTAAGTTCATGAACAGAAAGAAGACTATACATATTTGAGGTCGTAATTATATATGCCTAAAGTAATCTGTTATTAATATTATATATAAACATATAGTAATTAAATATAAATAGTGTTAGTAATAAGCAATGCCTTCACAATAGTTTCCCTTTTATTCCTCTGGTATCTATAAACAGCTTAATTATTCAATCTTCTCTTTTCTTTCTCTTTAACATGTACACGTTGGCAGAGGAAGGTGAAGCTCAATGAAAGACAAGTTCTCCCAGATTAGACTGGCTGAAAGTGAATTAACAGAATATTAAAAAACAACAACAAACAAATAGGTGATGGCCAGTTTATATGTTTTCTCTCTCTCCTTTTTTTATTTTTTGAGACAGAGTTTTCCTCTTATCAACCAGGCTACAGTGCAATGGTGTGATCTCAGCTCACTGCAACCTTTGCCTTCCAGTTCAAGCAATTCTCCTGCCTCAGCCTCCCAAGTAGCTGGCATTCCAGGCACCCGCCACCACACCTGGCTAATTTTTGTATTTTCTGTAGAGATGGGGTTTCACCACGTGGGCCAGGGTGGTCTCGAACTCCTGACCTCAAGTGATCCACGCACCTTTGCCTCCAACATGCTGAGATTATAGGCATGAGCCACTGTGTCTGGCCAACATCATCTTACAGATACCAGGAAAACCAATAATTACTTCTTTTAAGAAGGAAGGGCCTGAGCAGATCTATATTTTAGGAAGGCAATCTGGTGGTCTGGAGGGGCCCAAAGATCCCTATGCCTTCCTCCAGATTCTCTCTGAAACCTACTCTCATTATTCTTTTCCTCAGAGTTCTTATACAAAATACCCAATGTCTCCTTGCTTTCCAGCCTCAAAAAACAAAACTTAGATAATCCACAAGGTTGCTCTAGAAAGCAAAAAATAAAGTTTTGACTATGAACACAAAAGAGAGGATCTGGAGAAATAAAACCTTAACCAAATGAGGAAAAGTAAGTGACAAGTAGGGATATATATTGGACTCAGTATTTGGGTAGCTAAAGGCTGCCTATTCAGAGACACTGTGTTGCCTGGACTGCCTTAAATCCTAAACTCAAGTGATCCTCCCAGCTCTGCCTCCAGAGTAGCTGGGACTACAGGTGTGCATCACCATGCCTAACTCTCCCATTCCTTTTAAATCTCTTCTTACCCACCTAGTAGCTACTCTTAATTCCTCACTTGTAAATACCTTTTTACTCCCTTGATCCACTCCCTCTGTGTAACTCATTTGGTAAAACCTCAACCCTGTTCCCAAGAAGCTAAATGTTGGAGAAAAATTGTGCAGTCATGCTGTCTACAATCCCTTCAAAATTATAAATAGGTAATTCATTAATATGCTTCTTTACTAAGTTCATTTTCCCATCTCTAACAGTCTTTTTCCCTACTACTTTCAACCACCCCTCCTACAGCTAGATGATACTGTCTCCCACTTAACCACGAAAACAGATGAAAGCAGAGGAGAATTACTTATCTTTCCACTACCAATTCCAGTAACTTTCCTGTACTTGTAGCCACATATTCCTCTTAAAGATAAGGGACAATGAGTTCCTGTTCCTGACTAAAGCTAGTTTCACCACCTGTGGCCAAGGTCTCAAGCCTATTTACCTTCTTCTAAGACTTCACTTAGGTAAATATCTTTTTTTCTCTTGGGGAACCTTTTTGGACTATCTGCTCAAATGTTATATTTTCTAAGAGTCCTTCCTGGACTATCCTATCTAAGAGATCTCCCCTTTCTCAATCATTCTTTTTCTCCTTTGTGTATTTTTTTATACTGCCTGTCATTACAACATATTATGCTATATCTATTTATGTCTTTTTACTACAATATAAGCCCCCCAGGAGGATAAGAATTTTGCCTTTCTTGCATCTCTCTATCTTTAGCACAGTGCCTTATACATCCTAAGTGTTCAATTACTATTATTATTTCAAAGGCAGGGTCTCCATCACCCAGGTAGGAGTGAGCCACTATGCCCAGCCAATTTTTTTTTTTTTTTTTTTTTGTAGTAGAGACAAGGTCTTGCTATGTTGCTGGTTTCAAACTCCTGAGCTCAAGTGATCTTCCTGCCTCAGCCTTTCAAAGTACTGGAATTACAGGCATGAGCTACCTCACCTGACCCCCAATTATTATTTGTTGCATGAATATAGAATAAGTTTCAAACTTCATATGGCCAAGAGAACTACTGATTTTCTGCCCTGATGCACTTCCCATTTCAGAAAGACTACTCAGTTATGCAGGCTCCATACCTTGGCATTATCCTTGATTCCCCTCTTTTCTTTATAGCCCACATTCAACCGGTCCATGTTGTTAGCTCTACTTCCAAAGTATATCCTAAATATGACTACTTTTTATCATTTCCATTGCTATAGTCCTACCTGAGCTACCGAATTTGCACCTGTGGACCACTGTGGAAGTTTAACTTATTTCTATCCATGTAGACACCAGAGTGATATGTCTAAGACAAAATGAAAATCTCATCATTCCATTTAAATAACAATTACTTCCTATTGCAACCAGAATAAATCCAAATTCTTTGCCATGGCCAAAATTGTTTATTTACTTGTTTATTGTTCCTCTGTTTCCATTAGAAACGTCTTGAATAGTACCTACTATATAATAATCAATTTTTTTTTTTTGAGACAGAGTCTCACTCTGTCACCCAGGCGCCATGGTGCAATCTCAGCTCATTGCAACCTCCACCTCCCAGGTTCACATGATTCTTGTGCCTCAGCCTCCCCAGTAGCTGGGACTACAGGTGTGTGCCACCATGCCTGGCTAATTTTTGTGTTTTTAGTAGAGACAGGGATCCCCCCCCATTGGCCTAGCTGGTCTCAAACGATTAACTGCCTCAGACTTCTGAAGTGCTGGGATTACAGGTGTGAGCCACTGTGCCTGGCCACTATTTGTTGAGTTGGCTGATCCCTTGCTTTTGACACTCCCCAGAATATAGCAATTCTTAGGAACATGACCCCAACATCCTAGTTCTAAAATATATCCACATAAATATTTATATAGTATTTATTTTACATATTTTATGTTTATATATAATAAATACATATTCTAAAAAGGGATTATTGGGCATCCACATTTTGTTTGGTTAGAGGAGTGTATAATAGAAAAAGAAAATATGGGTAAAATTAATTTATTTAAGTTAAACGTTTGCTGAGTTTCTGGTGTTATGTGAACTAAGACAAATGGCCTATCCTCGAAAAGCTCAGAGTGAGGTAGCAACACGCATTTTTTAAACCAAAAGGACAGACAGTGACATCACCTACTTCTCTAATCTTCTGTATTATCCCTGTTTGTTTAAACAGCAACAGGGAGTGTGAAGCTAGTTGGAAATAAGAACTGTATATTATTTTTTTCCTCCACATAAATATACTGAATTTATGTATCTGATATTTTCTAGATGCAGGAAATATACAGATGAATAACCCTTGCCAGGGGCCAGGGCTCACACCTGTAATCCCAGCACTTTGGGAGGCTGAGGCAGGCAGACTGTTTGAGCTCAGGAGTTCGAGACTAGCCTGGGCAACATCGGGAAACCCCAGCTCTACAAAAAATACAAAAGAAATTTAGCCAGGCATGGTCCCAGCTACTTGAGGGGCTTACATGGGAGAATCACATGAGCCTGGGAGGCGGAGGTTGCAGGGAACCAAGATCATACCACTGCACTATAGAGAGAGGCCCTGTCTCAAAAGAAAAAACAAAAACCCGAGGGATAAATGAAGTGCAATGAAAACATATGTATCAATAATCAACTGTAATACTGTAGTTTTATAACTATACCATAATTTTTAAACTACTATGTATAGAGTGCTATGGCAGCACAGTGAAAGATGCAATTAACAGTGCCTAGGGAAGTCTGCAGAGGGAAGATAATATCTGATTAGAAATAGCTCTCCAGATAAAGAAGAGAGAGAAAATAATACAATATGGAGTAAACAATACAGACAAGTGAAAAGAAGAGTAAAAGACTATTTATCTAGTAATCAACAGTGATTGATTGAATGTACCTTAAAAACAAAATACACAAATGGTGGAGTAGGGCTAGAGTACAAAATCAGGATGAGACTCTGTGATGTACTAAGGAACCAATTAAGAATTTAAAGGAGATACACATATTTTAGAAAGAAAATAGTGGAAATGGAAAGGACAGGCTGAGATATAGGAACACACTGGGTAAAAAGCCACTGAAGCAGTAAAACAAATAAACTGAATTACCATGTGAAACACTAAAAATGTGACCAATAATTTGGCTATTATTTTTGAATGACTGAGATTTCATTTATTATTTATTTCTATTAATCTATTTATTATTTTTATTTCTTTATTTTTTTGAGACAGAGTCTCGCTCTGTTGCCCAAGTTGTAATATAAAGTGATATAATCTCAGTTCATGGCAGCCTCAACTTCCCAGGTTCAAGTTATCCTTCTACCTAAGCCTCCTGAGTAGCTGACAGGAATATGCCACTATGCTCAGCCAGTTTTGTCTATTTTTTGTATAGGTGAGGTCTCACTATGTTGCCCAGGCTGGACTCAAACTCCTGGACTCAAGATATCTTCCTGCCTTTGCCTCCCAATATGCTGGAAGTATAGGCATGAACCACCATACCCAGCTTGGCTATTATTATTTTTACTACTACTTTTATAAGTCTGGCAAAAGATAACGAAGTACTGAACTAGGTACTGCAGATGAACGGTATGAAGTCTGTTTGAAGATATGAGAGAGAAGTAAAATGGATTTTCAGCTTGGGCACTAAATGAGGGTGGAATGGCAATGAAACCACAGTTTCTTCTCTGACTTTTTTAGTCTAACTGCTCCCAAGCAAAGTATTCTCAAAAGCTCTCTTTTAGCTAAAAAGCTCTATTTCAGGTATGGACAAGCTGAATATATTTCCTGGAGTCTCACAAATTATCTTGATGTGAAATTCTGTATATAGAATTGGACTGGGTGCAAACAGCATCTTTTTTCCTTCGGACTCCTGTATCCTGTCTCTAGGTTCTTCAAGCGGGGAAAAAACCTGAGAAGAGAAGCATGTTTCTGCCCTTTTCACTGCAGACACACATATCTTCTCTCTATCACACTGCTGCTGCTTGTAGAGCTCATTATGTATAGCACCCATGCTAGCCACTGAGGAAAGGAGATAATAATAAAGATTTAGTCCATGGGGATTACAATTATGTAAGGTAGACAAACATTTAATAAACAGATCATGGGCCATAGTTCCTGTAAAATGTTTTTGTAAACAAAGCTTTCAGCCATGCCAAATTTATGCATTGTCTGTGGCTGATTTTTTTTTTTTTTTGCTACAATAGCACTGCTAAGTGGTTGTAACAGATTCTGTGGCCCACAAAGCCAAAAATGTTTGCTATCTGAACTTTATAGAGAAGTTTGTCAAGCTCTAAAACAGACCATTAATTAATTTTATGTGATAAGTGTGTCAAAGAGGAAGCTGGTTAGTATGAAGCGTCCGGGGAATTACCCTGAAAAAGTGAAAGATGAGCTAGATAAAGGAAAGGTCTCAAAGGCAAAGCTAGGAGTAACAGCATTATGTAAAAGACCTGAGGTGGGAAAGAGCACAGTGCCTACCAGGAACAGAGAGAAGGTCAGTATGGCTTGAGCACAGAGTACAATTAGTGTTGTGTAATGAGATCAGAAAGGCAGGCACAGATTAGATGATGCAGGATCTTAGAGGCCACAACACAGATTTTATATCTTAATCCATAGGACAATGAGAAGCTATCAAAGGCTTAGGTGAAGAAGGGTGATATGAGTAAATCTGTGTTTTAAAATATTACTATTTTAAGGAAAATAATGGGAGAAGGGGTGGACAACAAGAGATGTAAGAAGACTAGTTAGATGGCAACTATGGATTGAGAAAAGGGGATGACAGCTTGGGTCACAGGGATGGAAAGAAGAAAGAGTTGAGAAACATACAGGAAGATGAATTGGCAGAATTTTTTGACTGATTAAGCAGAAAAGGCTGAATGAAAGACAACTGACAAAGATGATTATTATAACATAACATATATAACTGGCTGGATGGCTAAACAGGGTACACGAGCGGAGTACAATGGAAAGCAGAGGAGGGGGTATGGGAGGAGAAAATTAGCTCAGTTTGAGTTTAAAGTATCTAAAAACAAAACGAACATGTCCACTAAGAGTTGATAGACAGGACTGGGCACGGTGACTCACAACTGTAATCCCAGCACTTTGGGAAAGCAAGGTGGGCAGATCACTTGAGGTCAGGAGTTTGAGACCAGCCTAGCCAACATGGTGAAACCCCGCCTCTATGAAAAACACAAAAATTGGCCAGGCGTGGTGGCGGGCACCTGTGGTCCCAGCTACTAGGGAGGCTTAGGCAGGAGTACTGCTTGAACTGGGGAGGCAGAGGTTGCAGTGAGCCAAGATTGCGCCACTGCACACCAGCCTGGGTGACAGAGCAAGATTCCATCTCAAAAAAAAAAAAAAAAAGTTGATACATTGGCCAGCAAAAAGTAGAAAGGCTGGGATAAAGTTTTGGTGAGGTCTCAATAATGAAAGTTTTGGTTAAAAAACAGAACAACAAAAATTGGATAATTTTATTAAACCTTGTATACATTAACTTTTATGTCTCGGGTAAATGGACGTAGAAAAAGGGGTTAACCATAGGAGAAGATAAAGAAGACACAGGGAAAAAGAATGTTAAAAAGACCAAAAGCCATAAAAAGAATATATATCTGCTTTACCATTTTGCCTGATACTCTGTTGCTAGGTTTAACTGAATCTGAGCAAATAAGACCACATTTATTTTCATTCTGTATATGTGCTCAGTAGAAAAATGGATTCCAGCTATAAAATGGTCTCAAGATATGACCATTAAGGTTCTAAATCACTTAGGTTAATCTTGTACCCAGATGTTACATGTTTTGTTTTGTTTTTTTTGAGGCAGAGTCTTGCTGTATGCCTCAGGCTGGAGTGCCACAAGAACACACTCACTGCAGCCTTGACCTCTGGGGTTTAAGTAATCCTTCTACCGCAGCCTTTTGAGCAGCTGGGACCACACAGCTAATTTTTAATTTTTTTGTAGAGAAGGGGGTCTCCTTAACTTGCCCAGGCTGGTCTCAAACTCCTGAGCACAAGCAATCTTTCTGCCTCAGCCCCTTAAACTGCTGGGACTACAGGCATGAGCTATGGTGCCCAGCCCTTAATTTGCATTTTTGAAAGTCACTGCAAACTTCAGGACTACATGTAACACTCCCATAAAAATAAAAAATTAAACCCATATGAAAGAGAATTTTCAACACTTACTTTTCAAGCTCTTCCTGAGAATGGGCAAATGTACAATTTGTTCCTCGTGGACAACCCCCTTGCTGTCGCAGATCTCGACACATGCTAGTCTTGTATTTGCTGTTTGGCTGAGGCTACAAAAATAAAAAACTTCAATGAGTGCAAAAGTGAAGATTCCACTTGTTATTCACTCTTGGAAGTTCAGAACTTTATAATTACACCTTTAATTCTTTCTCACATTAGATAAGTATTTCTTGGGCTAAAACAACTAATATTCCATTGTTTCCTGTTGTGAGTTATGTGACATAACCCTGAGTTAGAACTTTAGATATTCCTTCTGAAGATTATTTGAAACTGGTTCAAATGTCATGTCCATTTATTCATTAGTCAACAGAACGCCCAGAAAAAGAAAAGATTTTTTCATCAATTTATTGCTGTCTTAAAATTCTGCTACCAAAATCAAACAATTTTAAAAACCGTTAGAAAAAGCCATAAGCTTTGTCTACTTAAACTTTCTTGGCCAGGTGTGGTGGCGCACGCCTGTAATCCCAGCACTTTGGGAGGCCGAGGTGGGCGGATCACTTGAGGTCAGAAGATTGAGACTAGCCTGGCCAACATGGTGAAACTCCATCTTTATTTAAAAAAAAAAAAAAAAAAAAAAAAAGTAAACTTTCGCAGAAAAGGTTGAATACAGTTCCCCTCAGAAGTGAAAAATTACCAATTCGTTTGTCAACTTGAGGGTATAACTCTCAGGCTTAAACTATTTGAGTTCACACAATGAGGCAGAATATTAAAATTTCATTATGACTTCTATAATTTGCACCAAAAGCTAAGTTATTCTTATTCTTATGAGCCTAAGATGAAAACATTCGTTTTTCAGTTAATTTTTTTTTTAAGTTATAGTGTCTTCTAATAGATTAAGGAGAGAAGAGTAGAAAGAGTAGGTTTGATTCCAGCTCTTACTGACAGCACAATCTTATACCATGTTATTTAACCTCTTTGAATTTCAGCTTGGAAATAGCAACTACATTGCAGGTGGCTGTGAGAATAAGACATAATATATGTAAAACACTGAATGTAGTTAATGGCCCATAGTAACTTAATAAATAGAAATTATTCATATAAAAATTATACCTTAACTTCTTTTTAGTTTATTTTATATTTTTGGAGATAAGGGTCTCTCTGTGCCCAGGATGGAGTGCAGTGGGGTGACCTTGGCTCACTGCAGCCTCCCCATCCCAGGTTCAAACTGAGACTCTCCTGCCTCAGTCTCCTGAGTAGCTGGGATTACAGCATCCACCACCATGCCCAGCTAATTTTTTTCTTTTTTTTTTTTGAGACATAGTCTCACTCCGTCGCCAGGCGCCAGGCTGGAGTGCAGTGGCGTGACCTTGGCTCACTGCAACCTCTGCCTCCTGGGTTCAAGCAATTCTTCTGCCTCAGCCTCCGGAGTAGCTGGGACTACAGGCGGACGCCACCACGTCCAGCTAATTTTTTTTTTGTATTTTTAGTAGAGACGGGGTTTCACCATGTTGGCCAGGATGGTCTCGATCTCTTGACCTCGTGATCCGCCCGCTTCAGCCTCCCAAAGTGCTGGGATTACAGGCGTGAGCCACCATGCCCGGCCTCTTTTTTTTTTTTTTTTTGAGACGGAGTCTCACTCTGTAGCTCAGGCTGGAGTGCAGTGGCACAACCTTGGCTCACTGCGACCTCCGCCTCCTGGGTTCAAGTGATTCTCCTGCCTCAGCCTCCCGAGTAGCTGGGACTACAGGCGTATGCCACCACTAACTTTTTGTATTTTTATTAGAGATAGGGTTTCACCAATTAGCCAGGATGGTCTCGATTTGCTGATCTCGTGATCCTCCCGCCTAGGCCTCCCACAGTACAGGCGTGAGCCACCATGCCTGGCCAGGATTATATCTTAATTTCTAAAGTACATTGAAAATATCTTGAAAATTCAAATTCCATAAATTTACATATAGAAATTCAATAGAGAAAAAAAATGACAATTTCCCACAGTAGAAAAGAATTAGACAAAACATTTGGAATTATCGATATTTGGTCAAAAATATTTTGTAATGAAGTATATTCACACTGAAGATGCCATCTAAACTCTTGTGCTATGAAATATTTACCAGGTACACTGAAAACTGAGTTTCTCCCAAAAGAACAGAGACAATAAAAATTATGAGAGATTAGAGTCACATACAGAGTCCAATTAACAAAACGGCTTGTTAAGATATTCAGGATGAAGGTGAATTAGAGACAACAGCAGTCATAAGTATAATAAATGTACTTACCTGAGGTGTCTCATGGCCTTTTCTACTATAATTTTGTATGAAGTCCACAAGGCCATGAACTACTGTTTTAACAGCTACCATTGCATTTTCTAACTGCTCCCATGTTGGTGAAACAGCATCTAAAATATGCCAACAAGGGCGGGGGTTTGAGGGGGAAAGAATATTAGCAGTAATTCTCTTGTGTTATTCACCTCAAAAGTAGAAGAAAACATAAGCAACTAAGCATAGTCCCACATACCTGGATTAGGGTCTATGTTTGCAAGAAGTTCTAAATGGGGCCTCAGTCTATTTAAGTTAGCTGGGTCACCTGTTCGTTGCAAAACAATGGTCAATTCCTGGACACTCTTTGCAAATGACTCTGGAGACTGTAGCTAACAAACAGAAATGACAACGGTTTTTAATTTGGTTCTTATGACACACTTATATTCAAATACTTTCAATATGTCAACATATTTAATAAGTTTTCAAGTGTCTTCAGATTCCACAGTAGGAGTATCAGTGATGAATTAAAATTTTCACCTCAGAATCTGCCCTATGAAATTCATCATTAGACACTTAGAAAACTTATAAGCTGTATTAACTCTCTGAGGTCAGAATATAGATAAGCTTGAAACTTTGCCTCACTGCTTTTATGCTATTAAGTATTTGTTTCCCTGTTGCACCCCTTTATTTTGCAAGTAGAAAAATAAAAGAAAATAAGGATAATTTGTAAGAGTCTGATATTTAAAAACATAGGAATCTCCAACTGTTTGTGTCTAGACTCTTTATAATATTCTAATACTTCTCAATGTAACAGCATTGGTAGAACATCAGCATCTCTAATTTCACAAACCTTATCAATGATAGACTGCATGTGTGATTTATGAGCCAAATCACCATATAAAAGTGAGGACCATTGTTCAGGTGAAATACGGAGTCCTGCTTCCATAGCAATATGAACAATTTGGGCATCATGTTCTCTGCGTAATGCTTCGTAACTCCGAAATTCTTCCTTTAGCTGCATTAGGGAAGAGTCTTCATCCCTTTTGGTAACCTAAAAAATAGAAAAGACAAAAAGAAAGTCATCAGAATTGGTCTGTGCTTTCTCCCTGTAACCGAGTCGTTTATTCTTTTTTCAGGGAAGGTTGGGGACACCTACATATCAGACACCACACAAATAAGGTACAAAGATAAGATAATGTCCTGACCACAAATTCTTTCTGGAATAAAACAGAAACTTACATAACTAAATACATAATCCTTGTCTTCAATGATTTCAGCCACTGGAAGGAAGAGAAACGTGTAACTAGAAAATTATAGTAAAAGTGCTATTATAAGGCTTTGATGGCAATGAAGAAGAAAGGGAATTAAATTAGGGGGAGGAAAGATCTTTCAGAAAAGGCTTCTCCCAGCTAAAAGCTGCATGAATTGATTCGTGCAGAATAGGAGTTTCCTGACCAAAGAAAGGTGAGGAGGCTGAGCACGGTGGCTTATGCCTATAATCCCAGCACTTCGGGCAGCCAAGGCAGGCAGATCACTTGAGTCAGGAGTTTGAGATCAGCCTGGCCAAAATGGTGAAACCCCATCTCTACTAAAAATACAAAAATTCGTCACACGTGGTGGCAGGTGCCTGTAATCCAAGCTACTCGAGAGGCTGAGGCAGGAGAATTGCTTGAACCCGGGAGGCAGAGATTGCAGTGAGCTGAGAGAGCACCATAGCACTCCAGCCTGGGGGACAGAGCGAGACTGTTTCAATTAAAAAAAAAAAAAAAAGGAAAAAAAAGAAGGGGGAGAAATAGAATTTTTAGCAGCAAGTGGTGAAATAGAAACATGAAAGAGCACAGCATATAGGGTTACAGTTATGATACAGGCTAGAGAATAATAGAGGGCCTTATATACTAGAGTAGGAACTTTGGGTATTATCATGAAGGAATGTGAAACCACTGACTTTCTTTGGAGGGTGGGGATAGGGTCAACAGGGCCTCACTTTGTCACCGAGACTGGAGTGTAGTGGTACAATCTAGGCTTGCTGTAGCCTCGACTTTCTGGGCTTAAGCAGCCCTCTCACTTCGGCCTCCCAGAGTGCTGGGATAACAGGTATAAACTATGCACAGGGCCGACTGAGGACTTTTAAGCAGAGAAGGGACATGATCCGATTTATGTTTTAAAAAACATCACTTTGGTAACAGTAGAGGATAAAAATATACAAGCAAGAAATACAGCCAACGGGTAGGCATACATTAGCACTACCACACGATAATTAAGAAATTTTCTTGGGAGGCTAAGGCGGGGAATGGCCTGTGCCCAGGAGTTCAAGGCTGCGGTGATCTACGATGGTGCCACTGCACTCCAGCCTAAGCAACAGAGCGAGAGTCTTTTCCTAAAAAAAAAAAATTAAAAGAAATTTTCTGCTACCACAGAAATTATCATCAGGGTATTTATATAGCTTTAATCTCTACTTGAGTAGTAAAAAAATGATACAATCAAAAGTTGCAGAGTTTTACATGGCCTAGTGAGGTTGTGTGTGGAACCAGAGATTAATTTCAATTGTTGCCCTAAGGGCATAGAACTAAACACTATGACTATGAGGCAGATAGTGTCCAAGCCTCCTTAGTGGAGTTAAATGAATTCATTTCAATACATTTCTATCATCAATTACCTGTTACCTCAAACTAACCAGTGTGCCAAGGAAACATTTTTCCATCTATACACTTTTTACTCTTGGGAGGCTATAAAACCAACAAAATAACCTACATAAGCTTTGGTTTCAAATTTAAATATTTCACTTTCATAGAAGCCAATAGGCCTTTCTATTTCCAAGTCCATGGGCCTTTCTCAAGACACAGTTAGCAACCTACACTCTTGGAACATAAAAACACTTTAAGGATTCAGCTTGCTTTCAGTATCTGTCTCCACCCACTGGCCTATTAGACAATGAAACTACATTTTAAAATATCTTAGGGTTCTTCCCTACCCTTTCCACTAAACAAAAAAAACAACATCTAAAAGCAGAGTGGGCCAATGTCCTCAACTTTCCATTTCCTTGCTGTATCTGAGATAACATGTAGGCCATTTTCAGATTAAAGGTGTTAATCTAATCACTAAAGAGAATGAGATAACAAAATAATACTGGGTTACAAAGTTTACATACTCCTTATGAAGTTATATAGTTTCTGATTCCCTTTTAAGATACGAAATGTAAAGAAACCAGGCTTCTGCAGTCCACTTTTACTTGATAAGAGTCGAGTTTACCAAATGATTTCCTTAGGTTCTTCCTGTTACTGACATCACATATATGCTTTTATTTTGCCAACCGGTAGTAACAGGTACTAAAAGGTGGTATCACAGATGCAATCAATGCAGAAGGAAAGTTCTTCTTAACTCTTGTAAGCATTCTGCATTGCTAGGCCCTCTAGATTGGGTAACATGAATTTGAGGAAGTCCCTGTCTCATATACAGGCATATCTTTACATAGATGCTTATTGCTTACCTTGAAACAAGAAGCTCGATACAGTAGTTGCACAACATGACCAATACTTGTTTTTGATGCCTGAGGAAATCTTGGTTCTAGTCTCTGCACAACAAAAAGTACCAGAACTTTCCTTGAGAGGGCAGAACCATCTTCTAATGCCAGTAACACAAGCTTCAAGGCCTCTTCTTGCATAGCTAAAAATATTAAAGGAACATGAGCTCATGATAAATGGGGAACCCATCAGATCATGTATGTCATGGGCATCGTTGGGTATTAGAGTTTATAGTGACCCATTACCCACAATCTGTATTTAATTAGCACGAAGAGGACATCACCTGTACATAGTTTATTTAAAAGATAATCAAGCAAAATAAAACACACTTTCCACAAATAAAACATACTTTCCACTAAATACTAATCAAAACATAAGTTAACAGAACTTAAAATATCTTCTGTATTTAACAATCAATTAGATGATGATAATGTTAAGGTAAAAAGTGTCATTTATAAAACACACAGCTGGGCATGGTGGTTCACACCTGTAAATCCCAGCACTTTGAGAGGTTGAGGCAGGAGGATTGTTTCGGCTCAGGAATTTGAGACGAGCTTGGGTAACATAGGGAGAACCTGTCTCTACAAAAATGTTAAATTAAAAAAAAAATTAGCCGGGCATGGTGGCATGTGACTGTGGTCCCAGCTACTTGGGAGGCAGAGGTGGGAGTATCACTTGAGACCAAGAGGCTGAAGCTGTAGTGAGCTGTGATGACGTCACTGCACTCCAGCCTAGGTGACAGAGACAAACCCTATCTCAAATACATAAAAATGAAACACACAGAACTACTCTGACAATAATATGCAAAGGACCCACAGTAGGGTTATAATAAACGGTACTGTTTTCATGGATGAGACTGTTACTTTGCCTGTCAGAACTACTTTGTATATAATTTAAAAAATGGTATATTAGCCTCTGAATGCAATACCCAAAGAAGGTATTAATTTCATTTATGTGGCTTTATGGCCAGGAATATATAGTATAATCTGAAGGTAATCATCAGAGACATCAGACAAACCCAAATTAAGACATATTCTGAGGACAGGCGCAGTGGCTCACACCTGTAATCCCAGCCCTTTGGCAGCCTGAGGTGGGTGGATCACCTGAGGTCAGGAATACAAGACCAGCCTGGCCAACATGGTGAAACCCTGTCTTTACCCAAAATACAAAAATTAGCTACGCATGGTGGCACACTCCTGTAATCCCAGCTACTCAGGAAGCTGAGACAGGGGAATCGCTTGAACCCGGGAGTCAGAGGTTGCAGCGAGCCGAGATCACGCCATTGCACTCCAGCCTGGGCAACAACAGCGAAACTCCATCTCAAAAAAATAAAAAAAAAAGAAAAAAGAAATATTCTGTAAAATAAATGGCCTGTATTCTTCAAGAATAACAGTGTCATAAAAGACAAAGAAAGGCTGAGGAATAGTTGTAGAATAAAGATGACTAAAAAGAGACATGACTAAAAAATATAGTAAGTGATCTTGAACTGGATCTTACACTTGAAGAAAATAAATACCCTAAAAGTTATTTTTAAAATTATTGACAAAACTGGAATATGAACTACAGAATGTATATAGTACTGCATTGTATCACTAATTTTTAAAAATTTAATGAATGTAATATTGTTACATTAAGAGAGTATCCTTGTTTTTAGGAAACACACTAAAGTATTAAAGAAAAGGAGCATAAAATAAGCAACCTACTCTCAAATGGTTCAGAAGAGAGGGAAAGAATAACAAACATAGCAAAATATTAGAAAGTGCTGAATCTCGGTAAAGAATATACTGGAAATTCTCTGCATTATTCTTACAACTTTTCAGTAAATATGAAATTATTTCAAAATTACAACTTACAAATACATGATTATCAATCAAAACAATAGAGCTGAGAGATTATCTAGATTCAAAATACAAACGTGAAGCTATTGAGGTCCAGAGAAGTGACTAAGCTATATCTAGCTACCAGCAAAATTGGAAGTGTAACGGCAAAAATAACAATTACTTTAGTAGCAACCTAATAGAACCAAGGACTTCTTTTTTTTTTTTTTTTTTTGAGACGGAGTTTCACTCATGTTACCCAGGCTGGAGTGCAATGGCGCGATCTCCGCTCACCGCAACCTCCGCCTCCTGGGTTCAGGCAATTCTCCTGCCTCAGCCTCCTGAGCAGCTGGGATTACAGGCATGCGCCACCATGCCCAGCTAATTTTTTGTAGCTTTAGTAGAGACGGGGTTTCACCGTGTTGACCAGGATGGTCTCGATCTCTTGACCTCGTGATCCACCCGCCTCGGCCTCCCAAAGTGCTGGGATTACAGGCGTGAGCCACCGCACCCGGCTAGAACCAAGGACTTCTAAAAATTTTTAAATGTTTCTTTTTTTTAATTATCATTTTATCTTTTTTTTTTTTTTTTCTTTTTTGTCTCTCAGGGTTTCTCTGTTAGCAAGGACTTTTTTAAAAATTGAGATAAAATTAACCATTTTAACTGCACAATTCAGTGGTATTTACTATATTCGCAGTGTTGTATAACCATCAACTCTAATTCTCATCTTCATCACACCAAAGAAAACCCCAACAACATTAAGCAGTCACTGCTTATACACTCTACACAACCCCTGGCAACCACTAGTTGGCTAGTTTCTTTCATTTAACATGGCTTTTTTTTTTGAGACAGCGTCACACTCTGTCATCCAGGCTGGAGTGCAGTGGCACGATCTTGGCTCACTGCAACCTCTGCCTCCTGGGTTCAAATGATTCTTGTGCCTCAGCCTCCAAAATAGTTGGGATTACAGGTGTGCACCACCAGACCCAGCTAATTTTTTTGTATTTTCAGTGGAGACAGAGTTTTGCCACACTGGCCAGGCTGGTCTGGAACTCCTGACCTCAAACCATCCACCTCAGCCTCCCAAAGTGCTGGGATTATAGGTATGAGCCACCACGTCCAACCTAATGTTGTATTTTTGAAGCTCATCCACATGCAGCATATCTCAGTACTTCATTCCTTTTATGGCTGAAGAACAGTCTATTTACAAATACACTACATTTTGTTTATCACTTGATGGATATTTGGATTGTTTCCACCTTTTGACTATTGTGAATAATGCTGCAATAAACATTTGCATGCAAGTATTAGTTTGAATACCTGTTTTCTACTCTTTTGGGTATATACTTAGGAATAAAACTGCTGGGTCATATGGTAATACCGTTTAACTTTTTAAGGAATTGACAAATTCTTTTCCAAAGCAGCACACCATTTTTACATGCCCACATTCTCCACATTCTCACCAACATTTCTTATGTTCCATTTTTAAAAACTACGGCCACTCCCAGCACTTTTGGAGGCTGAGATGGGAGGACTGCCTGAGGCCAGGAGTTTCAAGTTACAGTGGGCTATAATTGTGCCACTGCACTCCAACATGGGCAATAGAGCAAGACCCTATCTCCAAAAAAATGAAATAAAATGATGGCTGAGTGGGTATAAATAAGTATGTCACTGTGATTTTGATTTGCGTCTCCCTAATAACTAAATACACTCAGGATTTTTTCATGTGCTTGTTAGCCATTGAAATGTCTATTCAAGTTATTTACCCACTTTTAAATTAGGTTGTCTTTTTGTTTCTGAGCTGTAGAACAAAGATCTGACACCTAGTCTATTGCTTCTTAAGTAAGTAAACATTAGGAAATATCCAAAGGTAACATTCTTAAATTCTGTATAAAAGTAGATTTTTAAAAATTATTTTAACATTTTGTATTACAGAAAATTTTAAACATATATACAAGCAGAGAGAACATACATCTATAACACAGCTTTTGTCAGTCAGGTTTGATCCACCTCTTGCTCATTTTTTTTTTTTTTTTTTTTTGAGACGGAGTTTCGCTCTTGTTGCCCAGGCTGGAGTGCAATGGCGCGATCTCCGCTCACCGCAACCTCCGCCTCCTGGGTTCAGGCAATTCTCCTGCCTCAGCCTCCTGAGTAGCTGGGATTACAGGCATGCGCCACCATGCCCAGGTGATTTTTTGTATTTTTGGTAGAGACGGGGTTTCACCATGTTGACCAGGATGGTCTCGATCTCTTGACCTCGTGATCCACCCGCATCGGCCTCCCAAAGTGCTGGGATTACAGGTGTGAGCCACCGCACCCGGCTCTTGCTCATTTTTGTAGTTTGCTTTCGCTGAGTATCTAAAAATCCCAGACAAATATTACTTCATCCTTAAATACTTCAGTATCAAATACTGAAGTGTTTAAATATTGAAATATCTCTAAGAGTTGACTTAAAATTTCTTTTAGTACAACACCATTATCACATCTAAAAAAAGTAATACATTTTCTTTCTCTGTTTTTTTGAGACAAGGTCTTGCTCTGTCACCCAGGCTAGAGTGCAGTGGCATGATCTTGACTCACTACAACCTCTACCTCCTGGGCTCAAATGATCCTCTCAACCACAGGCTGGTGCCACCACACGGGACTCATTTTTTTTTAGATGAAGTCTCGCTCTGTCGCCAGGCTGGAGTGCTGTGGTGCAATCTTGGCTCACTGCAACCTAGCCTCCCGGGTTCAAGTGATTCTCCTGCCTCAGCCACCCAAGCACCTGGGACTATAGGCACATGCCACTGCAACTGGCTAATATTTGTATTTTTAGTAGAGATGGGGTTTCAACATGTTGGCTAGGATAGTCTATATCTCTTGACCTTGTGATCCGCCCACTTTGGCCTCTCAAAGTGCTGGGATTAACAGGCATTAGCCAGAGCGTCCGCCCCACCCAACTCACTTTTGTAGAGATGGGGTTTCGCCATGTTGCCCAGGCTGATTTCCAACTCCAGGACTCAAGCAATCCCGTGCCTAGGACTCCCAAAGTGCTGGGATAACAGGCATGAGCCATCCCACCCAGCCATATTATTTTCTTAATGTGATCTAATATTCAGTCTATGTTCTATTTTCTCCCATCATCTCAAAATTTTTTTTTTTTTTGAGATGGAGTCTCACTCCGTTGCCAGGCTGCAGTGCAGTCGTGCCATCTCCACTCCCTGAGTTCAAGCGATTCCCCTGACTCAACCTCCCGAGTAGCTGGGACTACAGGAATGCACCACCACGCTGGGCTAATTTTTTGAATTTTAGTAGAGATGGGGTTTCACTACGTTGGCCAGGATGGTCTCGATCTCCTGACCTTGTAATCCGCCCATCTTGGCCTCCCAAAATGCTGGGATTATAGGTGTGAGGCATAGCACCTGGCCCAAAAATGTCTTCTTAAATTATCCAAACAAAGTTCACATATTGCTTTTGGTTGATGTATCTTTAGGTTTTAAGAAAAAATCTGTATCAATTCCCCACCAACCTTTAACCCTCTCACTTAAAAGAAAATCCATTTGTTAAAGAAAAAATCGTTTTTCTGAAGAGTTTCCCATATTCTAGATTTGGCTAATTTTGCACTGACAATATTTTTGATTTTTTACTTGTTATATTTTGAGACAAGGTCTTGCTTTGTCATCCAGGCTGGAGTGCAGTGGCATCATCACAACTCACTGTGTTCTCGACTTCCTGTGCTTCAGTGAGCCTCTGATCTTAGCCTCCTGAGAAGCTGGGACCACAGGTGCACACCACCATGCCCAGCTAATTTTTGTATTTTTGGTAGAGATGGGGTTTTGCCGTGTTTCCCCGGCTGGTCTCAAACTCCTGGGCTAGAGATCTGCCCAACTTGGCCTCCCAAAGTTCTGGGATTATAGGCATGAGCCACTGTGCCCCACCACCCCTTCCCTCATGTAAAGTTTATTTGCTGCCAAGGGCACCCCTTATTCCATGCATCATGTCAAGATACACACAGCATAGGCCTATTTGCCTCACTTTTAGTAATGCTAAGATTTATCAGTGGGTTCACACTTTATCCATCTATTATAAATTTCCTCAGTAACCTTTCATCTAATGGGTTTTACAGCCACAAATAATTCTTGCTGAAGCCCATTAATTCATTTGGGGATGCAAAATTGTGACTTTTCTAATTGTATCATTTTCTAAATGTATTATTAGTTTGAATTCAGCTAAAAGAGGAAACTTTCCTCAACATATAAGAACTGTCCGTGAAACTGTTTGTATATATTGTGTTTCAATCCATTGTAGTCACTTATTATGATGTTTAAATTGCCCCACTTACATCTAATAGGAGCTCCTTCATCTTCAATTCTTTGTCCTTTCAACAAAATTGTCTCTCTATTCCCTGTCTCTCTCTCTCTCTCTGGGGCTCAAGTGATCTTTCCATCATCAGCCTCCCAAAGTACTGGGATTATAAGCTTTTTTTTTCCCCCAGCACAAAACTCACTAGGCTCATCTACTTCCTACCGTAGAACTGGAATAAGGCATTTATCCAAAGAGCCCTGCCTCTTTTTTGTGGAAAATGGTATTTATGAAAGCCCACAATGTGGATGCTATGGTTATTCATCACTTCTAAGCATTTTCAGTGGACAGACCTCGGATAATGGCATTTTTTAGAAATAGAAAAACAAATGAGTCTGTAGTAATATAGCCAATTGAAATTTAAGGCTGCAGGGGTTTTACTTAAATCTTTTCTTTTATACATCTTTTTTTTTTTTTTTTTTTTTTTTAAGTTTCACTCTTTCACCCAGGCTGGAGTAAAGTAGCATGATCTCAGCTCAATGCAACCTCTGCCCCCAGGTTCAAGTGATTCTCCTGCCTCAGTCTCCCAAGTAGCTGGGATTATAAGAGCCCACCACCACCACACCTGGCTAACTTTTGAACTTTTAGTAGAGATGGGTTTTTGCTATGTTGGCCAGGCTGGTCTTGAACTCCTGACCTCAGGGGATCTGCCCACCTTGGCCTCCCAAAGTGCTGGGATTACAGGCATGAGCCACTGCGCCCAGCCTTGTATCTTTTTTTTTTTAAATGCTGAAAGTCTTGGTTCTGGTGGCATTAACATAATTACTTGCTTGTTTTATACTACTGTGTTTGTTTATGTTTCTAAATAACAATACCAGTAGAATTATGAACAATATGACAAATGAATGTAATTTAGGATTTACTATATATTCCACTAGGGATATAAAAGTCAAAATGCTATGTTCTAACGTAACCTGAAATAATTCATTCTTGCATGGATATGCTATCAACATGTTTCAGCTTTATTTTTAGGTATTATTTTAATCATTTTAAATTAAATTTTAAAAATATTGAAAGTTATTTTATAATTATGTAAAACATCTATGTGGTTTCAAAGTACAAAACAAAATACAGTTGGCAAGGTCTAGCTTCTGTCCCTGTCTGCTTTCCCTTGATTCTTCCTCCTTCTACATACTGGAATTTGTCTTTTGTTTTTCTTGCCATTCTTTCTTTAGGGAAATTTGAATGAATAAGGAGATTTTCTCCCTCCTTCTCTTACTTAGAAAGTACTATGTTGAGCACATTATTCTGGACCTTGCTTTTATTTTTTAACTTACCAAGGTATCTGGAGGTCACACCCTAGCAGAATATATACTTCTTCCTCATTTCTTTCGACAGCTGCATAGTACTACACTGGAAGGATATACCACAGTTTATTATACTAGTACCTTATTATGCATAGACATTCAGGTTGTTTCCAGATATTTGCTATTACAAATAGTGCTTTTATAACTTTATGCATTCTATACCTTCTGTTGTCTCTTTGGGATAGATTCCTGGAAGTGGGATTGCCGAACCAAAAGGTAAACACAGAAGTAATACTGCCAAATGTTGCCAAATTCTTTTTTAAAAGTTTGTACCACTTTGCATGCCCATGACTACTGGATGACAGTACCCGATTCCCCATACCCTTGCCAACAGAATATACTGTCAAACTTTTAAAAAGATTCTGCCAATCTGACAGAGATTGGCAAGATTCTGCCAATCTGATAGGCGAGAAATGGTATTTTAGTATAATTCTAATGTACACTTGTCTTAGTATAAGAAAGACTGAGTATCTTTTTTATATGTTTGAAGCCATTTGCATTACTTTCTTCCTGTGAATCATCTGCTTGCATCTTTTGCCAATTTTTCAATTGGATTGTTGGTCTTTTCCTTCCGAATTTTTAGACATACTTTATATATTATTTATATTAGCCCTCTGTTTGTTACATAATTTAAAAATATTTTCCCCAGCTTGTCTTTTTCCTTTGCTTATATTTTTTTTGTGATGTAACACACAAATTAGATTTTGAGTTAATGCTAGAAAAATATTCCCTACTCACAGGTTATACAGGAATATATTTTCTTATTTGCTTTTATTACCTGTATAATTTATTTTTAATATGTATTTCTGACATGTTTGTAATTTATGTAGTTTATAGAGAACAAGAAATGCATCTAATTTTGTCTTTTTCCACATGTTGATCTAGTTGTCTCAACATCAATCACTTACTAAAGTTTCTTTTCTAAAAATAAATTCTACCTGAGCTATAGTTCTATATCACAAAGTTTAAACAATAAACCTTCTGGAAGAAAACACAGGAGGGTATTTGGTAACCTTGGTACTGGTAAAGATTTTTTTAAGACAGAACATAGATAGGACTAACCATAAATAATTATCCCCTAAAAATGATCCAGAGTTTCAACATTTTTTTTCAGACCAAAAAAAAAAAGCTTACCTTTCTTTTGCTTATTATTTGTGCAATCTTAGGCCTCTTTCTAACTTGGTTTTCTAATTTGTAGAACTGTAACTATATTGCCTATCTTGATAGCAATTAAAGCTTAAATGAGAAATTTGTTTTAAAACACAAAAGCACTGCTTGTCAATTTTAAATTAAGATTAATAAAAATGGATTTATCTTGGCTGGGCGCAGTGGCTCACGCCTGTAATCCCAGAATTTTGGGAGGGCAAGGTAGGCAGATCGCTTGAGCTCAGGAGTAGAAGACCAGCCCGGGGAACATGGTGAAACCCTGTCTATACAAAAAATGGAAAAATTAGCTGGGTCTGATGGCATGTGCCTATAGTCCCAGCTACTTAGGGGGCTGAGGCAGGAGGCTTGCTCAAGCCTGCATGTTGAGGCTGCAGTGAGCTAAGACTGTGCCACTGTACTCCAGCCTGTGCAACAGAGATCCTGTCTCAAAAAATAAAAAAACACAAAAATAGCAATAAAAACAACAACAACAAAAAACGAATTTATCTTTAATTATGTGAAGATATGTACATATAAAGATGAGTTGGGTCTCAGGATTCTTACCGAGCTCCAGACATTGTCATCCTCAAGCCCCAACAGCTAATAAAAAAGGTAAGATAGTAACCTATCTTACCTGGCCCTAAAAACTGGCATCCTCGAGCCCTGACAGCGGCCCATAGATTGGCAGACAATTGCTGAGGATTCTGGTGCTGTAATATCAGTTCTGTTACAGTTCTTTCTCCAAGTGAACGAGCTGCTCGCATGGCTCTTACACGACCTTCTTCCTCCACCAGTTGACAGTTTACAAGTGTCACCAGTTTCCTTTGCATTGGACGGCTCAGTGCACTCTGGTTCAAACTAGCTACACCTTTAGGAAAAGGGAAACAAAGGGAACTAAAGTTTTTTCAATAAAAAATAAAAGTCAATTTTCATTATCTGTATTTAACTAGTAAGCCACAATTCCTAATGAGTCCCTTGTAATGTGCTTTAATTTTTCTAACAGTCAGTATTCTGTCTGTGGCTACTCTGCAGTAATAAGGAGCCTAATTTTTAGCTACTTTAGCAGTTTAACCTAAAAGTAAAAATGACTATTTTTTAATTGTACATAAGACATTTAGAATACTGCTTAATGGTAAGCACTTAGATCCTACTCCTCTGTACCTATGTAAGAATATTGCCCCAGCAATTCTCCCCTCTCCCACATTATCAATCCATCTAAAAAATGAATAAATATTTTCATGATCCTTATTCCACTACCAAATCTACCCCATTTCTTTCTTTTTTTTTTTGAGACAGAGTGTCACTCTGTCACCCAGGCTGGAGTGCAGTGGCACCATTGCAGTTTACTGCAACCTCCACTTCCCAGGTTCTAGTGATTTTCCTGCCTCCAGAGTAGCTGGGATTACAGGTGCATGCCACCAAGCCTGGCTAATTTTTTTTTCTATTTTTAGTACAGACAGAGTTTCATCATGTTGGCCAGACTGATCTCAAACTCCTGACCTCAAGTGATCCACCCGTCTCGGTCTCCCAAAGTGCTGGGATTACAAGCGTGAGCCACCGTGCCCAGCTTCTGTTCCATTTCTTTCTTCTCTTTTGTAGGAAATTTTGTAGAGGTGTCTATACTCACTATTTCCTAGTCTACTGCTTTGACTATGTGGCCAACTGTAGATCACTACAATTGATGTCTTTACTACTTCCAATTCCTTATTTCGCAATCTCTGAAACCTACCCCAGTCAAGTTTTTCTCACTATCACTTGACCAAAATAGCTCTTGTCAAGCCAACTATTACCTCTACTTTGCTAAATTGGTTAAATTAGTTAATTCTCAATTCCTTATTTTATCTGACCTTCCAACAGCATTCAACACACATGATTACTCATTACTCCTTTAAAACACATTATTTGGCTTACTAATGTGTCCCAACACTAGAATAATGTTGGACGCTTCGTCCATGCTCTTTAGATAGATGTTTAATAAATGAAAGAATGAATACAGTGGATAAGTATCTCAGTAAAATTGCTATGTCCACACACACAACAGTGCAAAGCATTGAGTAGGTACAAAATAATTACTAAATATATTCATTCATTCACCAATTGTTTATGACATCCATGATGTGCTCAGTATGAAGTGATAAAATTTCGGTTTTGTCATAAACTTAAAATAATGTATTGCACTTGTACACCTACCTCCCCCAATAAACTGTGGGCTCCATGACGGCAGTGACCTTAACCACTGTTAAGTGCTCAATAAAACTTAATGAATGACTGAATGAATACATGCATACATGAAGAAGTTTTTTTTAAGACAGAGTCTTGTTCTGTCACCCAGGCTGGAGTGCAATGGTACGATTTTGGCTCACTGTAACCTCTGTCTACCAGGTTCAAACGATTCTCCTGCCTCAGCCTCCCAAGCAGCTGGGACTATCGGCACATACCACCATGCCCGGCTAATCTTTTTTTTTTTTGTATTTTTTGTAGAAATGGGTTTCATTGTGTTAGCCAGGATGGTCTCGATCTCCTGACCTTGTGATCTGCTTGCTTCAGTCTCCCAAAGTGCTAGGATTACACGCCTGAGTCACCATGCCTGGCTTCATGAGGCTGTCTTAACAGGATTTATCAAAACTAATATTCTATTACAGCACTATTAAAACAATTCAAATACTGTATGAATTTCAAGAGGCAGTGATTCTGGTAAATTCTTTTTTTTTTTTTTTTTTGAGACAGAGTCTCATTTTCATCACCCATGTTGAGTGCACTGGCACAATCACAGCTCACTGCGGCCTCAACTTCCTGGGATCATGTGATTTTCCCACACCACATTGGCCTTCTCAGTAGCTGGGACTACGGGCACGTGCTGCCATGCCTAGCTAATTTTTTGGTTTTTGTCTTTTTTGAGACGGAGTCTCACTCTGTTGCACAGGCTGGAGTGCGGTGGCACAATCTCAGCTCTGGGTTCAAGTGAGCCTTCTGCCTCAGCCCCCCTAGTAGCTGGACTACCGGCATGTGCCACCATGCCCAGCTAATTTTTGTATTTTTAGTAGAGACGGGGTTTCGCCATATTGGTCAGGCTGGTCTCTGACTCCTGACCTCAGGTGATCTACCTGCCTCAGTCTCCCAAAGTGCTGGGATTACAGGCATGATTACAGCCACCATACCTGGCCCAATTTTTTGTACTTTTAGTAGAGATGGGCTTTTGCCTTATTGCCCAGGTGGGTCTTGAACTCCTGGGCTCAACCAATCCACCCACCTCAGTCTCATAAAGTGCTCAGATTACAGGCATGAGCCCCACACCCAGCTTGAATTATTAAATTAATAACAGTATTGGTTATTTTCAGAAAACATAATTTTCTTAATCTATATATTTTTCAAGGCATTTCTCAAGCAAACTCCTTTTCCATACTTATTTAATAGGGTATCCACATCAAATCCAAATTCAAAGTAAATGTACTACCAAGTCCTGCTTATCAGCAAAAATGCATTTTACGAACTTACCTTTACCTCCACTTAGTGGTTTTAAGTAGAGTGCCAAATCCTCAACGCATTTCTTTGCAACCTCATAGTGTTTATTCTCACCTAGATTACTTAACTTAATTGACTGATGATCTGGTACCTTAAAAACAAACAAAAAAGGAATATTGCAGAAATACATTCATCCAGCTCAAGCAACTATTATTTATGTACTTGGTAATAATCTTGGTGAATATAAAATTATAATACACAGATAATACATGAAAATCATTTAAGTAAAATTAAAGTCAAACACCTAGCCAAATTGCTTTCCACAAACCAAAAACAAGGCTGGGCGTGGTGGCTCATGCCTGTAATCCCAGCACTTTGGGAGACCAAGGCGGATGGATTACCTGAGGTCAGGAGTTTGAGACCAGCCTGGTCAACATGGTGAAACCCCATCTCTACTAAAAGGTACAAAAATTACCTAGGTGTGGCAGTAGGTGCCTGTAATCCTAGCTACTCAAGAGGCAAAGGGAGGAGAATCTCTTGAACCTGGGAAGCAGAGGTTGTAGTGAGCTGAGATGTCAGCACTGCACTCCAGCCTGGGTGACAGAGTGAGACTCCATCTCAAAACAACAACAACAAAAACAACAACAAATAACATACTTAATAGTAGGAGCTGCATGGATTAATGAAGGAAGAAGCAGAAAGTTAATAGTATTGTATCCATGCTGATTTCTTGCTGTTGGATGTTAACACTAGGTTAAGCTGTGGAAAGTTACACAAGTTCTCTGAATAGTATTTTTTGCAACTTTTTTGCAAGTCTGAAAGAATTTCAAAATTAAAGAGTAGAGAAAAAAGGTAGAGTTTTTTTCCCCCAGTATCACCTTTTTACTATATTATTTACTTAAGATAAGCATCATAAGACACAGTGTTCTCAATCAAAGGTCAAAACTTGGGTGAAAATTGCAGCTCTACTACTTCTATGAACGACCTTGTGTAAATTACCTGACTGTTCCAAGTCATAATTTCCATATCTGCAAAATGAAGATGAAAATGTGTATTTTGTAGTGTCACTATAAAAGTTCAATATAATTCAACAAATATTTATTTTTATGGAGAGCTTATCATGCACTGGGCATAGTTTTAGGCACCAGGGATACATCAATGAGCAAAACAGACAAAATTTTTTTCCCCTTGTGGAGCTCACATTCTAGTGGAGAAGAGGCAGCCAATCAGTAAATTAAAAATGTAATAAATAAATATATAGTGTTCCAAGAGGTGAAATTATAGAGCAAAGATAAGGGGAACTGGAAATACGAGCAAGGGGTTACGGCTTTACCTGGGGTGGTCAGCATAGGTTCCCTTGAGAACTGTGAGATCTGAATAGACTTGACTGTGGAGAGAGGGGCTGGGTACAGTTGCTCACGCCTGTAATCCCAGAACTTTGGGAGGCCGAGGTGGGCAGATCACTTGAGGTCAGGAGTTTGAGACCAGCCTGGCCAACATGGCAAGACACCATCTCTACTAGAAATACAAAAATTAGCTGCGAGTGGTGACATGCACCTGCAATCCCAGCTACTCAGGAGGCTGAGGCAGAAGAATCACTTGAGCCTGGGAGGTGGAGATTGCAGCGAGCTGAGATCACATCACTGCACTCCAGCCTGGGTGACAGAGGCTCCATCTCAAAAAATAAATAAATTTAAAAAAAGTAAAGAAAGTGGAGAGAGACTGAATGTTCTAGGCAAAGGTAACAGTCACTATAAAAGCAGTCAGGTGGCAACATACTTAATATATCTGAGAACTGGCTGAGAAACCAATGTGGCTTAAGCGGAATAGGAACAGCAGTAGAAGAGGCTGAAGAAGTAACAGAAGTCACATTGTAAAGACCTGTAGGCAATTTAAGGACCAATCGAGATAACACTTACAAATGATAGTAACACAATACCTATTGACCTATAACAGATGCTATATAAATTGTGGCTAATATATTTTTTTTTTTTTTTTGAGACAGGGTCTCATTCCCATCACCCAGGCTGGAGTACAGTGGCATAATTTTGGCTCTCTGCAGCCTTGATCTCCTGGGCTCAAGTGAACCTCTCATCTTGCCATCATCTCAACCTCCCAAGTAGCTGGGACTACAGGTACACGGCACCATGCCCGGGTAAGTTTTGTATTTTTTGTAGAGATGGGGTTTCACCATGTTGCCCAGGCTAGTTTTGAACTCCTGGCCTCAAGTGATCTGCCCACCTCAGCCTCCCAAAGTGTTGAGATTAAAGGTGTGAGCCACTGTGTCTGGTGGTAGCTAGTATTTTTACAAAGAGTCTATGATATTTTACCAAATCGAAAATGTCACTGTTTGCATGAGGCAACATTATTTTATTCTCCATTAATAAAAATATACTACCAATTAAATTATGACACACTATCAATTGTAGATGCACCTTGATTTCATACTGTGTAACTGGATAATAAACACTGAAAACAGATTTTATGATTTAAAAAGAAGACTTCAAATACCAAGATACTACGGGAATGAATGAAGTATTTTGGTTTACTGAATTTTCTAATAAATCAGAAAAGTACTTCCTTTCTGGCTTTAATATGTAGTACATGATGAACAGAATTTCATCTTCTTTCTAACCTGTAAAATAGGGAAAACAGGCCAGGTGTGGTGGCTCAAGCCTGTAATCCTAGCACTTTGGGTGCCTGAGGCAGGTAGATCATGAGGTCTGGAGATAGAGACCACCCTAGCTAACATGGTGAAACCCTGTCTCTACTAAAAATACAAAACACTAGCTGGGCACGGTGGCATGTGCCTGTAGTCCCAAATACTCTGGAGGCTAAGGCAGGAGAACTGCTTGAACCCACGAGGCAGAGGTTGCAGTGAACCGAGATTGTGCCACTGCACTCCAGCCTGGGCAACAGAGTGGGACTCTGTCTCAAAAAAATAAAAATAAGGAAAATACCTGAAAAGCTATGTTAAAAAATAGTAATAACAAATGCTCAATACTTACTGTCAAACCTAATGCAAAGTAAACCCTCATTAAATAGAAGTTATTTCAAATCTAGAGCCTTGCTTTGATTCAATAAAATAATCACAAACATGAATTCTATAGCACATGTTCTTTTTCTCCCCCCCTAACATTCAACTCAAGCACCACACAGCTCAGAGGTGTCTTTTGGCTTCCGTGGACCACACTGGAAGAATTGTCTTGGGCCACACACAAGATACACTAACACTAACCATAGCTAATGAGCTAAAAACAAAGAAAAAAACAATGTTTTAAGAAAGCTTACGAATTTGTTTTGGGCCACATTCAAAGCTGTCCTGGGCTGCATGAGGCCTGACAAGCTTGATACAGCACATGTTCATAAGAAACCACACAGAATTTATTACGGACACATTGGTTTTTGGTTTTCCATACATACATCCCTACATAGACCTTATTTTTTCATTTTTACTATTATATAAAAAGTCAAGTGAAGTTAAAAAGAGTAACAAAGAAAAAAAACCTGTTTCTGGTCAAAGCTTTGATTACGTTTCTTTTCATAATATTACCTATTGAATAAATATGTATGCTTATATAAAAATGCTTCTTATCCACCAAAATCACTTATATACATAAATTTTAACCACAGAATTAAAGAAAAAAAGGAATTAGTAACTATAACGTAATTTATAGTTTTTATAAGGATAGGACATTATCTAAAGAAAATCTTGGCCAGGTGCAGTGACTCACGCCGGTAATCACAGCACTCTGGGAGGTCGAGGTGGGTGAATCACCTGAGGTCAAGAGTTTGAGACCAGCCTGACCAACATGGAGAAACCCTGTCTCTACTAAAACCACAAAATTAGCCAAGTATGATGCCGCATGCCTGTAATCCCAGCTTCTCAGGTGGCTGAGGCAGGAGAATTGCTTGAACCCGGGAGGCGGAGGTTGCGGTGAGCCAAAATCACGCCATTGCACTCCAGCGTGGTCAAGAAGAACAAAACTCCGTCTCAAAAAAAAAAAAGAAAAGAAAAAAAGAAAATCTTTTGCAGAATACAATCATGAAAACTAGATACAATAATATTTATTTTTTACACTGCAATGATCACTAAACATACTGTATACCTATTACTGAACAAAGTTCAGTAACTATTTCATGTAACAAATCATTAGGTTGCTGAAAAAGTAATTTGAGTTTTTGCCATTAAGGCCACATAAGATGGTCAGGTGTGGTGGCTCACACCTATAATCCTAGCACCCTGGGAGGCCGAGGTGGGCGAATCACCTGAGGTCAGGAGTTTGAGACTAGCCTGGCCAACATAGTGAAACCCCATCTCTACTAAAAATACAAAAAAAACCCCTCAAAAATTGCTGGGTATGGTTGTGCACGACTGTAGTCCCAGTTACTTGGGAGGCTGAGGCAGAACTGCTTGAACTTGGGAGGCAAAGGTTGCATTGAGCCCAGATCGTGCCACTGCACTCCAGCCTGGGTGACAAGGCAAGACTCTGTCTCAAAAACAAAAACAAAAAAACAAGCCACATAAGATATGCTAATACTAACAATAGCTGACTAATTAAAAAACATTAAAAAAAAAAAAAACTCACAATGGTTTAAGAAAGTTTATGAATCTGTGTTGGGCCACATTCAAAACACATCCTGGGCTGCACGTGGCCTGCATGCTGGACAAGTTGTTAAAGTAATGGCAAAACAGCAATTACTTTTGCACCAACCTATAGTAAAATCTTGAATGCTTACCTGGGCTCCAACTAACTGGAGAAGTGCGAAGTTGACAGGAAGTACATCAATATCTGTGTTGATGGCAGTCTGGTCAAAAGGACAAGCTTTTCGATGAAGTTTATTCAAGCAGGTCTTGCAAACAGTGTGTGAACAACCTAAACTGATGGGTTTGTGCACATTCTCATCAAATTCATTATAGCAGATTGGACAGGACAGAAATTCTGTCCATTGAGCTGCCTGCACAGGCATTGTGGAAGCTGGATGCTCGGGTTAGCAGTCTAGCAGATCATTATTTTGCTGTGTAGTGTTTTGTAAGCTAGAAATGGACAAAAGTAAGAATTAACCACATATTCATCATTCACCTTTCAAGAGTTAATTGCTCAAGTCAACTATTATAGCTTCAGACCTAAAATACTTCTGAATAATTTTATAACCTTTGGATGTCTTTTTAAAAAATCCTATTTGATGAATTAAATTTCTGAAATTCTGCCTGGAAACAATACCTTAATAGTGTTCCTTTCGACTAAACTGTATTTATATTGGTTGCTCACATAATCATCATCAAAGCTTTTATGTCTTTTTCTCAACGACCACATCAAACAAGCAAATTAACTTTCCATATTCAACTTTTAGGAACACAAATTACTTTGGACTGCTGGTAAGGGTTTTTGTTGTTGTTTAAAAAAGTGTTTCCCTTGGATAACCAGCACCCCATAACATAATAAGGTATGGCCAGGAGTTAGTGAACTTTGGAAACTACTGATCCAAACAACTGTAGAGACTCAAATGTGAAGAAAACAGCCCTGCCACCTGAAAGAGGAAATCTCTTACAAGACTTGACTAGGAAGCAAAATGAGGTACTGAAAATCAACACATGAAACTCTGATGAGTGAGAGATGATTAAAAGAGGTGATTGTCCATAAATAAAAGAATAATGCTGACCACAACATACAGTACCAAAGTAAAACAACCAAAAAAATTGTCTTAAAAATCATGTCATTTATCCGGGAGGTGGAGGCTGTCGTGAGCCAAGATTGTGCCATCGGACTCCAGAATGGGAAACAAGAGTGAAACTCCATCTCAGAAAAAAAAAAAAACAAACTTATAGTTCATTACAATACTTCTGATAAAACTGTATTATTTAGTGATTGATATATATAACCAAAAACTGTTGCCGGGCGCAGTGGCTCAAGCCTGTAATCCGAGCACTGTGGGAGGCCGAGGCGGGTGGATCACGAGGTCAAGAGATCGAGACCATCCTGGTCAACATGGTGAAACCCCGTCTCTACTAAAAATACAAAAAATTAGCTGGGCATGGTGGCGCGTGCCTGTAATCCCAGCTACTCAGGAGGCTGAGGCAGGAGAATTGCCTGAACCCAGGAGACGGAGGTTGCGGTGAGCCGAGATTGCGCCATTGCACTCCAGCCTGGGTAACAAGAGCAAAACTCCATCTCAAAAAAAAAAAAAAAAAGTTATACATATGTGATTAAAAACTGAAAAGGCACATAGAAAAGACCAGTGAGAGAATTTCTTTTACTTCTAAGATCAAAATGTTCTGACCAGGTGCAGTGGCTCACACCTGTAATCCCAGCACTTTGGGAGGCAGACGAGGGCAGATCACCTGAGGTTGGGAGTACCAGACTGGCCTGACCAACTTGGGGAAACCCTGTCTCTACTAAAAATACAAAATTAGCTAAGCATGGTGGTGCATGCTTGTAATCCCAGCTACTGGGGAGGCTCAGGCAGGAGACTAGCTTGACCCAGGAGATGGAGGCTGTGGTGAGCCAAGATCGTGCCATTGCATTCCAGCCTGGACAACAAGAGCGAAACTCCATCTCAAAATAATAACAATAATAATTCATAATTTTAGTACAAGATTTAGTAGCAAAACAATACTAATTTGAACACACTAAACTTCACAGATTTTCTTTCTCTTCCAATTCAAGACTTAATGTAAGTCTGACAAGCTCTCTGGTGAACAAGAAATCTAGGTATTTAGGGCAATTAAACACCCAATACTTTATTTCACAGGAATGTCTACCAAGCCAAATATGTTAGTTCCATAGAAATTAGATATTTAAAAATGTAATCACATTCAGAAGAGAAAAATATATAACTGAAAGTATTCCCCATTATGCCAACATATAAAATAATTCTAATAGCCTTTATTGCGATATGTATTTTTTGAGACAGAGTCTGGCTCTGTTGCCCAGGCTGGAGTGCAATGGCGTTACCTTGGCTCACTGCAACCTCTGCTTCCCAAGTTCAAGCGATTCTCCTGCCTCAGCCTCCTAGTAGCTGGGATTACAGGCACCTGCCATCATGCCCAGCTAATTTTTGTATTTTTGTAGAGACAGGGTTTCACCATGTTGGCCAGGCTGGTCTTGAATTACTGACCTAAGGCGATCTGCCTGCCTCAGCTTCCCAAAGTGCTGGAATTACAAGCATGAGCCATTGTGCTCAGCCCTTCCCTTTTATATTCACAAAAACAAAGATTAAAAAAAAAAAAAAAAAAATCAAGCCAGGCACGGTGGTTCACGCCTGTAGTCCCAGCATTTTGGGAGGCCGAGGCTGGCGGATCATGAGGTCAGGAGTTTGAAACCAGCCTGGCCAACAGGATGAAATCCCGTCTCTACTAAAGAAACAAAAAATTAGCCAGGCGTGGTGGCAGGCACCTGTAATCCCAGCTACTCGGCAGGCTGAGGCAGGAGAATTGTTTGAACCCAGGAGGCAGAGGTTGCATTGAGCTGAGACCACACCACTGCACTCCAACCTGGGCAACAGAGCCAGACTCTGTCCCCCACTACCCACCAAAAAAATTTTGGTAAAAATGAATTACAAAACTTGGTATGTAAAAAGCAGCCCTATACAAACTTTCTCAAACAACTCTAATGCAAATTATCTAATATCTTTAAAGTAACCAAATCTTTCATGTTATAATTAATTTTACAACTTTCATCATCACAGTACCACATCTATTAATGTTATCAATCTAAAAACCAATTCGTTTCCTTCCAACTTTAGAGATGAGCACTAAGGAAGTGAATATATCGCTCCCTAAAACTACTGAACATTTTTAACATTCAGTTTTCTGGTTTGCAGAGCTATCAAGAAAAGGCCTTTTAGGAAGAATAAATTTCTTCTTAAATCTACTGAAAGCTCTAATTTAGTTAATAACTTGAACTGATTAAATATTTATGAAAACAGGACACTACATGTAGTTTTTCATAATGGCCACCTGTTTGGAAATGTCAATTCTGTGGGTTAGGGTACCAAAGACCACTTGGTAGCAGAAAAAAAGGCCAAATACCTTTTCCTTAGTTTTCCAAGACCATTCCACAATGCTTTATATTAAAACACATTAGTGGGGAGTTGTGGGGGGCAGGGGGGTGGAGGAGTTTCAACTAAATAAAAAAAGGCTATCTTTCATATTTTCATCTAGTAGTTTTAAACTGTTTCAAACTATACCAGGGCACACTTAATAGTTTTATGTTACAACAGTCCTTAGCGATTTTAACATAATTAATGCTGAGAAGTTTAATTTCTACCAGAAGTTGAATTAATACTTTTAAAATATAAAGAAAAAACACTGCCAAAATTTTGGCAATAACGCTACCAAATTTTCCTTCTATGTGTCAGAGTCTAACTTACTTTCTTTTTTTAAAGAGACGGAGTCTCCCTATGTTGCCCAGGCTGGAGTGCAGTGGCTATTCACAGGCACAATCCCACTACTGATCAGCACAGGAGTTTTGACCTGCTTCGTTTCTGACCTGGGCAGATTCACCCTTCCTTGGGCAACCTGGTGGGCCCCCGCTCCTGGGAGGTCACCATATTGATGCCGAACTTAGTGCGGACATCTGATCGGCATAGCGCACTACAGCCCATAACTCCTGGACCCAAGCGATCCTCCAGCCTCAGCCTCCTGAGTAGCCGGGACTACAGGCATGTGCCACCGTGCCTAGCCAAGTTCTAACTTTCTGACAGTAAACTATGAACTAAACTTCCCTTATACAATGAGACGTAAGAAATGTTTTGATTTTCTAAAAATGTTTTTCTTCAGTATTGTAAGTCTTAAATTCCTTAGTTAAGATAAATGCAATTTAAAATTTTATCTAAAACATAGAAGAAACTTCATTCCTTCAAAACAAGCACTTTGTAAACATTTACCTAGAAAATATTTTTGTAATTGCGAAAAATGATAAATATCCTATTGTCGGTATAATTTATTTTTAAAAGCGTATAAATGAATCATGGCGCACTAAGACTATATATTTGCAAAACTTCTAGACTTATACATTTTATGCAACTAATTTGAGTCTACGTAAGTCTCAAATGCTATAAATACTTAGTTACTACTGAAGTATTCTTCCCAAATAATAAAAACATTTCAAACTAGGATAAAATGGATTAAAAGGCCTACAACTCTAGATACCTAAAGTGATTCCTTAAGAAAAACATTCTGTCAGAGTGGTGGCTCACGCCTGTAGACCCAACACTTTGGGAGGCTGAGGCAGGCAGATCAACTGAGGTCAGGGGTTCGAGACCAGCCTGACCAATGTGGAGAAACCCCATCTCTACTAAAAATACAAAATAAGCTGGGCATAGTGGTGCATGCCTGTAATCCCAGCTAGCTGGGAGGCTGAGGTAGGAGAATCGCTTGAACCTGGGAGGTAGTGGTTGCGGTGAGCCAAGATCGCGCCACTGCACTCCAGCCTGGACAACAGGAGTGAAAACTCTGTCTCAAAATAAAGAAAAACATTCTAATTATTTGTATTAACTAATTTTAGTTACCAGTTACAAAAACTGAAGAAGGATAGTAAGATAGAGCATAGGAGTAAGAAATGCTAAATTAAAGGCGAGACCATAAACAGTTTTTTGCTCAACTAATTTTCTAGACTGCAAGTTCCTTGCTATGAGCACTGACACATAAACAGGAAGCATAATAGGCATCTCTTATATGATTCAAATTACAAACTGCTTTATTAAGAGTAAACTGCACACCAGATAAATACTTTCATTTTCTCTTATTAGTCAACCATATTATGCAGCCAGTTCAGGTCTACAGCATCTGATTTTAAAACGTGAGAATAAAGTTTACACTTCTTTAACTGTCATATATGTATACAGCATTTTACAATTCTCTTAATAAAAATGTAAACATTAGAGTGTAGTTTTTCTAATTAAAACAATCATTGTTTTCATTCTAGTTAACCCATGTGAGGAATATAAGCTACTGAAATGAACTGTCACAGTAACTTCCAGTTTAGAAAACTTAAAAACAATTAGTTTTGTTCTTAAAAAATGATTATTTAAAGCATAAGTACAATTTGGATCCTAACCTGAAAGACAAGCAAAAACCAAAACACTGATGGAAATAACTTACAAGCTAGAAACTCAGCATTGGAGAAAAAGGAATTGAATTGCAATTTAAAAGACTGCTATAATATGTGACTTTGCTTTTAACATGTAAAGTATATGACTCAAATTTTACTTCTTAAATACACTATGGGGTTGAACTCAGTTTTAAAATAAATATTAGACATAACTTCCAATGTATTCGAATAGGGCAATAATGAGATAACTTTCTATTTTAACAAATATAACTAATTTTAGTGATGACTAGAAAAATACATTTTTTTGAGATAGAACTTACTTCTGCCTATCAAATAACAGTCAATGGATAACTTCATCCTTCATATTACCAAGGTCCTTAGCCCTTTAATTATTCTAATTATAACAGAATAATCTGGAAGTTTTTGATTTTTATACATCTACTTTTATTCCAATAATGTATTTCTTGGAAGAGTAATGCTGATCTAACAGTAACGTCCAATAGAAATATGATATGAGCCATTATAATACAAGTAGTTTTAAATTTTCTGGTAGTCACATTAAAAAAGGTTAAAAGAGGCTGGGTGCAATGGCTCACTTGAGGTCAAGCATTCCAGACCAGCCTGGCCAGCATGGCAAAACCCCCTCTCTACTTAAAATACAAAAATTAGAAAAAAAAAAAAAAAAAAAAAATAGCCTGCCATAGTGATGCCTTCCTGTAATCCTGGCTACTCAGGAGGCTGAGGCAGAAGAATTGCTTGAACCTGGAAGTGGAGGTTGCAGTGAACCCAGATGGTGCAGTACTCTGGCCTGGGAGACAGAGCTAGAACGTGTC